ACTTTACTTAAATCTTCATATAATATACTAATGTTTTTTCCACTAACCCATTTCCTTAATTCCAGCCATAGGATTACAAATCAGACATTGCATATATGTTTAAGTGGCAATTCTACTAGTGACAAACAAGATTTTGTTATAATAAAATTCATTTAATGTCAAATAGGTTTAGCAGCTATTAAATGAACATAGAAAATGTTGATATAATAAAATTCATTTAATGAAAACATATTTTTGATATACTTATGTATTTCAAATGGATCAAAATCGAAATTAAAATTTAATGAAAATAAGGTTGACATTTTCCATAAGAGTGATAAAATAGGGAATGATTTTGGAAAATGTTCATGCTTACATTTGACAGAAATTTGAGTATTACAAATTCAGCATAGGTTACATAGTGATACTAATGTTTCTCAAAATCAAATTGATGGGTAGGTCTACTATGAAGTTAATGATTCATGCCAGATGCTATTATGAAAGCTATACATTTGTTGAGAGATTTGGTGGAGAAATTTAGAGAGGGTAAGGAGGATCTATAAATGTTATTTATTGATTTAGAGAAAGCTTATAATAAAGTTTCAAGAAAGTGTTTTGAAGAGTTCTAGAAAAGAAAGGAATTAATAATATTTATATTCAAGTCATTAAGGATATATATATATATATATCTTCTATTTAAACACAAAGTGGTTTGAGCAAATATTTTCTTATTTAAGTTGGATTATATCAAGGATCAACTTTAAGCCAATATCTTTTTGCTTTATTCATAGATTTCTTACTAGACATTTGCAGGAGGATGTATCTTGGTATATACTTTTTGCTGATGATATTCTTGTTGCTGATAAGACTAGAAAGAGAGTTGATGAAAAACTTGAACTATAGAGGTCAATCTTAGAGTCTAAAGGTTTTTGTTTGAGTAGATCTAAAATTGAATGCATGAAGTATAATTTTAGTAGTAATAGATCTAGTGGTAAGATTGTGACATTGGGCTATCAAGTCATTAAAAAGAGTGCATGCTTTATATATCTCAGGTCTATTGTTCAAAGTAATAGTGAGATAGATGGGGATATTTTTAGTAGAGTTCAAGTTGGATGGTTGAACTGGAGGAATGCATCCGACCTGTTGTGTTATCGAAAAGTACCCCTCAAACTTAAGGGAAAATTTTATAAGATGGTGGTGAGACTTGCAAAGATATTGTGTCCATTAAAAGAGAAGAATAAAATTTAGCATTGAAGGGATGAGGATGCTCAAGTGAATAAGTGGCTTTACACTTAGAGATTGAATGCAAAACAAGCATATACATGGAAAGGTTGGAGTAGCTCCAGTGGCAAGTAAGATTAGAGAGAGTTGTTTAGATGGTTTGGTCATATAAAACATCGACCTTCCGATGACCGTGTTAGGAGAGTATATGCATTAGATCTAATTTATTATAAGAAAGACATAAGTAAACCTAGAAAGACTTGGTTAAAAGATATTAAAAATAATTTTTTTGTTAGATTTAAACGAGGATTTGATTCTTAATAGGATACAATGAAGAAAAAAAATAATTATGTAGCTGATCTTACACAGTGGGATATAGGATCGTTGTTATTTTTATAGAAAATTTATAAAGGACTAAAACAAATTTCAATTTATCCTACATTTACCCTCTTTAAGAAGATTTCTTTAACGGAGTCAAGCTAATCAAGATTTATTGCCAACCTAGTACTTGCATAAAGTTCCTCAATCCATTTGTGATAGTAATTTGTAGGTTGTAGAAGAAGTATTCCTTGCTTTTGATGTCTAGTACTGCAATTGTCTAACAATCTTTCAAATGAAGATATTAATTGACCTCATAGTGCAAGAGAATTGTCATAAGCTGTGCAAGGTGCAACATCCTCACCCATAATTTTTGGGGGATGGGGATGGGAGATGAACACAACCTTTGCTTTATCATTTGTCGAAGCCTAATAATTTCTTGTAGTGCATGCACTTCTCAAAGTTCATTTGGAAGGGATTTAGGTTGTTAAAAAGTCTAATGGGGGATATATAATTCAGCAAAGAAATGATGAAGATATTTATCTGAACCTAAAGATTTCCTTAGCAAATTGGTATTCCAAATGAAGTTTCATAAATAATCCTTGAACTTTGTAGATGGGTTGTAGCACATATAAATGATGATTATTATCTTACTGGTAGTTGTGTGACTCTTGCACATCCTTACCTACCTCTGAAGTCATTGATTTGTGAAAGTTATCATATGGACTTGTGGTGGTGTTCATAGAAATTTTTTGAAATGTGGGGAATAATTTACTTGGAGCATGCTTACCATCCATTATTCATTATAATTTTGTTCATGAACAAGGCCTAAAGGATGATGTTCGCCACATTTGTTGAGATTTTTTGGACGTGTTTGTTGGCTATGCTATGAGGAGTGGTGATATAATGCCTCATCTCATTCCACGACGAGAATGATGCTCTTCCAAGCTTTTTAAGGACATCCTTCTCATATTTTTTCCTATACTCCAAGAGTCATGACCATTGACTTGGTAGATTAATTATTGAAGTTCAAGATAGTACAAGAGCATCATTCTCGTAGTCATAGTTTTGTCGAAAAGTTCTCGAAGTGGGTGTTTTTCTTGATTGAGGCCTCCAAGTTTCTAGTTGTTTGCTTATTTGGTCTTAGTTGAAAATAGTATCCCCCAACCTAAGTATTCTTAGGACTATAAATGAACTAAGTTGAGCTTAGTACTATATTGTTCAAGCTCATTTATTTATTTTCTTATTAGTTTGAGCCAAACTACAACATGGCTTGATTCTAAATTATTGTTCAAGTTTGTTTATTGTTTTTCTTATCTAGTTCAAGTCAAAATTAAGCTTTAAACAATACTAACTAATTATGTGTTTGATGTTGTTAATTTTAACATATAGTCCAATTATTAGATATAATTTAATTTATATATTTTAATAAAAATTGGCATAGTTCATAAGGTGCTAGTTAAGTTTTATAAAATTTAAATGCAACAATAACAATAACAACAACAACAAGCCTTTATCCCACTATATGGGGTTGGCTACATGAATCCTTTTTCTCCATTTTGTCCTATTAATAGTCAAATTCTCATTTAGATCTAATAAAAAAAAGTTTATTTCTAATACTATCTAGCAATGGCCATTAATAAGAAAATATTTAAACTTATCTATCTAACAATTTGTTTGATATTTTTGTTATACATATAATTTTAATATCGTACATAAATTTTAAAATATATAAATTATAAAAAATTGATATAATAAAATAGAATAAATCATTAAATAAAAAATAAGCCATCATTAAATAAGTATTTTATCATGTTTTTAGGATGCTACTCGTTAAACAATAGAATATTATAAATGAAAAAAAGAGTCAGTGTTCAAATTTGTTCATTTATATTGCAAGATTTTAAAATTTTCTTTTCAAGTTTGTTGAGTTATGTGAATAAACAAACAGAAGAGCATTATATGAATGAGTTTATAGTTGTTCATGTAGTGCACTTGTTCATTTTTCAGCCTCAAGTATCCTTATGCATGCTGTACAATGAACTCATGAGTCTGGTTGTAGAATTTGTTATTAATGGAAAGGCCAAGGATTCTTCATTTTTAGTATATTTTTTCTTTGTATGGGTCTCCCTGCCTTTTTGGAGTATGGGGAGCCCTTTTAGTGAAAAGCTAGATTTTTTGCATTGCTGCTGGTTCGTTTCAAATAATGAATAAAGCTCTCAATTGTCCGCTTGTGGTTTTACTCTAAACTTCGCTGTGGACGATCATTGTTCTGCAATCAGTTCGCTCACTTATGTTCTGAAAATAACTCTTTAATCAAAGGAAAGAACTATATGTTTGAGGGAAGAATTGCTTCACTAATGAAAGATGAATCATATTCTCCAGAGGTATTAACATCAGGTGGTATCAAATTTTTGAAAAAGAGTGGTAGTCTGATAAGAGACTAGTTGTTTCTTATCACATTGAGTTTTTAGTTTACTGATGGTGATGATTCTTATGTTGAACAAAATGTGAAAATTTCGTTTTTGAGGGTGAGTTTAAGGCGTAGGATTGGAACCAAAGGAAGCACTAGTAAGGCCAATGAAAATGCTTGTAAAAGGTGTAGGGGTTGACAGAGATTTTTCAACGATGTTAGAAGTTATTGGAGAAGAGTTGGCTCACGTAAAACTGATTTCAGATTTTAACATTAACTTGCAGACGTTTGAAAAGGATTCATAAAGTTGATTTTAAGTACTTATGATGATGGTAAAATATGACATCAGGTTTATATGCATTTATTTTTATAAACTTGATGGTGTGAATCCTAGTAATAAGCTAGTTTTTCATACCACAAGTTCATGATTAAAAGCATTATATAGCTTATGAAAAAGACTTTTGCCCTGGCCACTACCTTAAAGCCCATTGTGGTGATGAGAGACTTTAGCCCTGTCCACGTCCTTATGCCGTTGTAGTGTTGAGGGAGCAAAAATAATATACTCAGCTATTGTTCCCCTCATTCAGGGAGTTTATGCTGAGAAGCATATGGATGAAAACCAGTCAGAGCTTACTTCTTTGGCCTTTGATTACCCTCAAGATGGTTTTATCCATGCTGCAATTTAGGCTTCGTTTATGACGACTTTCTTTCAGCCTCTTAAAGCAACTTTTTAGTATAAAAAATTTAATTTTTATATTATAGAATTGTTTTATGAAGCAACAAAAAAGCTGTCCCAAACGAAATCTTAATCCTCTTTTGTGATCTACCAGGCGCTTATTATTCTGATCCAGGAGGAAATGAGACATATTTCATCATCATTTGGTGAATGATTGCATTCATATATTTTTGTTGCGTTTCTCATCAGACTCTTATAAATCATAGCTTTTTGTTATAGCAGTTCATTTTTTTTTTGCAGCTATTGGCTGATAAATTTCCTTTTGCTTGACCTTGTATTCCTGCTCAAGTCTGTCATCAAATTTCTCATCCATAATGATCTCTGGTTAAACAGTTTTGCAAATCATCTGTGGAGCCTATGGGTGAAGAATGCGACCACGTGCACATAATTGCTCTCTCAGATGCTCTTGGTGTGGCAATACGAGTCGTGTACCTGGACCGGAGCTCATGCGACAAGGGTGCGCTGGCTGTTAATCACCATGACTTTGTTCCTACTGCTTCGGCCGATGAGAGTACAGAACCTTTTGTTACATTGCTGTACCGTCCTGGCCATTACGACATTCTTTACCGCAGATGACGATGACGGCGATTGTATTCGTAAGCAAGTGACGTAGACTAATCTCTTTCCAAATTCACCTTTTTTGGGGTGCGGACACCGGGCAGAAAGAATCATCCGAATTTCTCTCTATTTACAATAAAAGTACAGTCAAAGCGCAGCTGCTACAATAACAGTGCTTTGACTGAGCTTTACTGTAGACATAGAGAAATCCGGATGTATTTCTCTGTCAAGTGACCGGACCTAATAATTTTCCGTTCCCAGGAGCTTATTTCTTACATTTTCATCCACAGGCTAGCTGCCTCTTGGACTGGCTGATTTCAAAACCATACAGGACTTTGCTTCAGCTTTATGGATTTCACAGGTCATAGTGCTTGGCTAATTTTCTCTTAAGATCGTTGCATCAAACAAGTTGTTTAAACTCGCCAACAGCTGACTCTTACATATATTATTTCCTTTTGTTGAGATTCCTTGCACCGTAGGGCTAATTTTCCTGCTATCATTTATTTGACAAATGACAAGTACAAATCTTTCATTGACCATTTTCCCTGCCATTGTTTGGATGCTAGTTTTTCTGTGCGGGTCCACATTAACTTTCAGTATAAATTGATATTAGCTTCATTTGAGATAATTTTTTAAAGTGATTTTTTAGATAAATTTTTTTTTGAATTAAAAAATTTTATATAAAAAAGTTGCTTTAAAAAAGTATTATGAAAGCCGTCCCAAACGAAGTCATAATCTCATGGATTGAAAATCAGTGCAGATTTATATTGCGGGTGTCAAATAGGTCACCTAAATTTATTTTAAGCCTATGTGATCGAAATCTTCTTAATTTTATTGTGAACTTTGGTTTGTCAAATTGGTGATAGATTTTGATGGGTTGAAATCCGTTCACAAATGGGGGCATTTTCAAGCATGTTGCTTAACTTTTAACCATTTATAAAATTAATTTCTCAGATTATTAATTATAGTAGTAGTCTATTAATTATCTCTAACTTATTCCCTTATATTATAAATCAAAAGTGGGGGTTTCATAGAAAGCATAGAGAGCTTCAAAACAAAAAACATTGTTCAAGTTACACAAACATTCTAATCAATGTCATAATCATATTATCAACATACAAAATAAAGTTTGATGGCTACTCACTTTTGGGCAAGGTTTCAATCATCTAATTTTTTATGCCTACTTATCTAATGGATGGCAAGAAATATTATCTAGTTAATTATCCCCACATAGATGCAAATATAGAAGGATGAGGAAGTTGAGATGTCTCACAATATCAAGATAAATGATGAAAGTATGTTAAATTAAATTGTCTAAAATATTGATCAATAGGATAGTCATTGAGGTTGCAATCAAGATACTTAGAAGTCAAAATGAATTTAATTATAGAAATAAGCTATGATTTTATGATAGATTATTGGTAGAATTTTTTTTTTAACTAAAGTAAGATATACATAATTGTAAAGGGTGCTCATGTCAGAGAAATTATTATGTGCAGACGCCGAACGTAGTTTACCATCCGGAGACCAACTAAAATGCGTCACATCAGTAATACCGAGCCGGGTACCATGCAGGGGGTAGTGTGGTGCATTCTAGTTGGTCTCTGGACAACGTTCAGCACCCGCATAGAATAATTTTGCCCTTTCACACGATGCATAGTTTTGGTAAGCATGCATATAATAGGTTGCAAAAAAGGTAGAGAGCAAGGTTGAGCTAACAAAAAATTCCAACCTTCCAAAGGATAAAGTGTCTTGTGATGGTATTTCATGAAGGGTGGTATTGTCCTCAAACTAATTCAAAGTGTGATGGAATCGCTCGATGACCCAAATATTTGGACCACAAGAAAGTTTAAAAATTCCAATAATATCTTAAATAATACTTTCTATCTCAAAGCCAATTAGATGAAATATGATGTGATAGCCATAATTATCATCAAATACCTTTCTATTGAAAATTGTTGTGAAAATAAGATCTAAAAGGCGAAGCACATTATAACAGAATATGAAGTTTAGAATATTCGAAGGAATGTAAAATATTATAACCTAGATTAATAGATTGATCAATATGTCATGCAATACTTATAAATATATGGTTAATATTGGATGTGAAGCATAAAGAGTTTAAGAATATAAAATATCGTTCAAGTTACACAAACATGCTACTTAATATCATTATAACCAAATGAAAGCTAAGCCTGCAAAAATCAAAACTAACACAAATATACACACAACACATATTAGAGCTTGCAAAAAAGAAAGAAAAAAAAAACTCTATGTTGTGGACTTTGACAGTAGTTGGGAGGATCATGTCCTACTGATAGAGTTTGCATATAACAATAACTATCAATCCAGCATAAGTATGGATCCTTACGAAGCCCTATATGATAGGAAGTGTAGAACCCCTTTATCTTTGACAGAGGTGGATGGCAGACATGTGATAGGATCATCTTTTATGGATGACACTACAAAAAAAATTCATTTGATCAAAGAAAGATTGAGAACTGCACAAGATAAGCAAAATAAATACTATGATTAAAAATACATGGAGTAGAATTTCAGGTTGGTGATTTTATTTATGTCATGTCAGCCCGATTAAAGGTGTTAGCCGATTTGGAAAAATTAGTAAGCTGAGTCCAAGGTACATTGGACCTTTTGAGATCTTTGAGGATTAGTAGTTCTGCTTAAAATTATTATTTTCTGATTATATGTTAGATATACATAGTATATTTCATGCATCTTCTTTAAGAAAGTCGGCTTTTGATTATGGAAAGAGATTATCTACTGATGATGTTGAGGTTCATCTGAACCTGGACTATATGGAAGAGCTACATAAAATTTTGGCAAACAATGTTAGAAAATTAAGGAGTAAACAAATTATGATAATCAAGGCGCAGTGGGAGAACATGACTGCTATAGAGACTACTTGGGAGAAGGAAAATGAGATGAGATAGCAATATCCGTATTTATTCTGACTTATTTTAGTCTGAAAGTATCGAGCATCATATTTTTTTTAAGGTGGTTAAATTGTTATATCTTAAAATTTTTAAAAAGATATTTTTACCTGCAAGAGTTAAAAATTATTTCAGGAGTCATTATAAGTTCAAATCATAAACTGTCTTCATCATAGTATAGATATTATTATGTTTTATATTAACTAAGTTTTTTTTTCATAATTTTCGGGCACTAGTATAAGGTCATCCTTAGTCTAAAGGTTTTCATTTGAGTAGATCTAAAATCAAATACATTGAATATAATTTTAGTAGTAACTGATCTAGTGGGAAGATTGTGACTTTTGGGTGATCAAGTCATTAATAAGAATACATGTTTTAGATATATTAGGTCTCTTATTCAAAGTGATGGTGAAATGGATAAGGATATTATTAGAAGAATTCAAGTTGGACGGTTGAAGTGGAGGAATGAATCAAGCCTATTGTGGAATAGAAAAGTACATCTCAAACTTAAGAAAAATTCTATAAGATGGCGGTTAGACCTGCAATGCTTTATGGCATAGAATGTTGGCCGTTAAAAAAGAAGCATAAAGTGTTGTAAATATGAAATCCTTAGGTGGATGAGTGGCTTCACTCTTTGAGACAAAATGCAAAATGAGTATGCATGTGAAAAGGTTGGAGTAGCTCTAGTGGAAGATAAGATTGGAGAGAGTCATCTTAGGTGTTTTTGTCACATAAAATATTGGCCTTTCGATGACCCAATTCGGAGAGTAGATGTATTAGATTTGAAATCTTTTAAGAAAGGTAGAGGTATACCTAAAAAGACTTTGCTTAAAAATATTAGAAATCACTTTTTTTAATTAAATTTAAATGAGAATTTGACTCTTAACAAGATATAATGGAGAAAAAAGGATTCATGTAGTCAGCTCCATGTAGTGGGATAAATGCTTGATGTTGTTGTAGCAGCTTTCTAAAGAAGCTTTATTCAAAATATTAGTACAATAGTAACTCTAATAACTACCATCCTTCAAAAAGACAAGTTTAACTGAACTACTTATGCACAACAAGCTATGAAATAAATTAAATTCAATATGTTCTTGCCTCCTATTCTTGAGCTTCCAAACTTCAACAAGATATATGAGATCACATGTGATGCCTCTATTGTTGTTATAAGAGTTCCCAGTCAAGAGAATCACCTAGTAGCCTTTTATAATGAAGAATTAAATGATGACATGAAAATATATTCTACTTATAATAGAGAATTTTATGCCATTGTTTAGATTCTAAGGCCTTAAGATATTATCCATTGCAAAGAGAGTTTATCCTCAATACTAATCATCATGCCCTAAAATTTATAAATTCCCAATGAAAGGTAAGTTGCACAAGCATGAAAAATGGGTAGAATACCATCAAGATCACTTTTATTCTAAAACATAAGTCTGGGGTAGAAAGTAAACTTGAATATGCACTTTTTAGGATGAATTTGGTAGTTTCATCTATGAAATTTCAAATGATCGGATATGAAAGACCTAAAGAAGAATATTATGTCTAACATGATTTCCATTTGATATGTCATGAGCATGCCAAGAAAGATTCATCATTAATTAGTTTAAGTGGCGACTATTCCTTTATTGATGGTTATCTTTAGAGAGAATGAATCCCTAGGACTTCAATGAGGATATATATTTTTTTATCTTAGAGCTACATTAATAAAAAAGAGATGTAGAAAGAATAGTGACCCAATGCTTTACATGTATGAAAGACAAAAGCACAAAACAAAATATTGGGACAATGTTATGCTTCACGAGTTTCTTTTATACCTTGGGAAGATTTCCCTAGATTTTATATTAGGTCTTTCTAGGCCTCCTAGGGCTCAAGATGTTATTTTTGTGGTGGAGATAGGTTCTCCATAATGACTTATTTCTTACCTTAGCTTTAAATCCAATGATGCATCTCATATAACAAAGTTATTCTTTAAGAAATTGTTAGAATACATGAAATTCCTTCCATAATTGTTTGTGATAGAGATGTTAAGTTTGTATCCTATTTTTTAAAAAATACTATGGAAGTTAATGGGTACTAAAGTTAATTTTTCTTTAGCCTTTCACCCTTTCACCCACAAGCTGATGGCCAATTGAGGTCATCAATATATCTTTAGGAAACCTTCTTCAAAGTCTAGCAAGTAAAAGTTTAGGCAATTGGGATATTCACTTACCTACAATTGAGTTTGATTATAACAATACAATTTTTATGTCCACCAACAAAATACCCTTTGAAAAAGTCTATGGTTACAACTCTAGAAAGCCGATTGATCTTGCTAGCATCTCTCACAAGAATTTTCTAATTCTACATTTACATTTGCACAAGATTTTTCAAAGCCTTTATGAAAATGTAAAATAAAAATTGGTAATCATTATTTCAAAATACATTAAAATTAAGAAAAAAATAAAATAATTTAATAATTTAATGTAAGGGATCATATGTTAATAATAATCCATCCTACGAGGTATACTTCTAGTCTATTTCAAAAATTACAAGTTGAGGAATGTGTGCCATTTGAGCTTATTAGGAAAACTAGCATGATTGCATATGCTATTGAATGAAAAAATGCCATATTTATCAATCCAATTTGTGATAAGATCTTATATCATATAAAAGAGCTAGCCAATCTCTAAATGCATAGGATGATTCCTTTGTAGAAACACAAAATCACTGTTTACAAGTGCCAAACCAGCGCATTCATTCTTTGAGGTGGATCACATCATCAAAAGTGAAGTAGACCATACAAGATATCAAAGGTTTATTGTGAGATGGACAGATAAGCAACCCAATCAAGACACATGGTTTATAAGAGATGATTTGAAGACACTTGCACTATGGTTTGCAACTGATTACCTAGACTTCAACACTTTAGAGAAGAGATCTTTAAGGTCTAAGAAAATTGGTGTTGCAAAAAATGGTTCAACCACCAAGGCTTAATCCAGAAAATTGCGGTTGAGTATAATGGATCCATTACTAGGAGCAAGTTGAAGACCCTAAGCTAAGTAATTTTAATTTTTATTCTACTTAGTTATTATGAATATATTATGTGTATGAAAACTTCATATAAAAATGCGAGTGTCAATGTGTGTGCCTTGGGTGTTTGTGTTATGGATTATATGTGATAAAGGACTAGTTAAAGGCACTTAATTTGTTTCATTAAGTTGTTAAGTCAAGCAGTAAAGTGGTCGGCCAAGCAAGTAACTAGGCTTAAGTGGATTGGATGGCCAGGCAGGGAGGAGAATGTAGTTTTGTATTGTAGATCACATCATCACAAGTGAAGTAGACAATACAAGAGAAAAAATATTTCTTATGAGATGGAAAGATAAGCAATCCATTGAGGACACATGGCTTATTAGAGATGATTTGGAGAAACTTGCACAATAGCTTGCAATTGACTACCTAAACTTGAACACTTAATAAAAGAGTTCTTTAAGATCTATAGCAATAGGAGCAACAAAACCACAAAATTTCAAAAAATCATCCAACCAACAGAGCTTAATCTAGGAAAGTTGCTACGAGTATAATAGACCCATCAACGGGAGAAAGTTGAAAATTCTAAGCTAAATTATTTTCTTTTTTATTCTACTTCATTATTATGAAGATATTATGTGTATGAAAGCTTTATATGAAATTTTGATTGTAATTGTGTTTGTGTTGTGGATTTTATGTGGTAAATGAGTAGTTAAAGGCACCTAATTAGTTTCATTAAGTTATTAATTCATGGAGTGAAGTAGTCGACCAAGCAAGTAGCTAGCCTTGAGTAGATTGGATGGCCAAGAAGGGAGGGAGTAGTTTTATGTTGTGGATCACATCATCACAACTGAAGTAGACCATTCAAGAAATCATAAGTTTCTTGTGAGATTGAGAGATAAGTAACCCCCCCATCCCTTTAACGTCTTCAAATTTCAATTTCTCTTGTTCTAAGTTAATTTAAACCTTATTTGCTATGGAAATAAGTGATTAGAACATTTGGTTATGAATTTAGAGTGAATTCCAAGCGATGGCTTGGTTAGATGGTCAACCAAAGGATCTCGAGAGGTTCGGTGATCTCTCTCATCCAATCATCTTTGGTAGGTTGATTAGTTTTGTTATCTCCTTAATTCTCTAAAATTGTTTCATGATAATCCCTACTAATACCCATCTCTATGACCTTATGTGGTTTCAATTTAGAATTAGTGATCTTATACCCTTCTAAAAATTTTGAAAAATACAATAACACATCTTAATATATCCTACTACCATTCCTTTGTCAATCCCTCGCAAGCAAAATCAGCAAGACTAGGAATTATTGGGCCAAGTCACTTATAAAATCCCAAAAAGAACTAAACCGCTTCAAAAATTATGAATAAATATACATTAAAACTATACACTTTTCTCTTAAAATTTTCAAGTGATTGAGAATTCTTGGATCAGTGTTCATGAAGATATACTGTATTGAAGTTAGCCTAAGGCAATTAAATCAAACTCACACACATAACATACACAAAACTCAAATACAAGATCTCTTAATTAGTAGCCATAACTCCCAACAAACAAACTAAGTTGTGTTGTGTCCACTAACAGATTTCTTATCTATATAAGACTCTTTTGAAGTCATTAATATACTTGGCCTGAGATGTGCAGATGCAAATACATCTTCTTAATAACTTTAATCAAATGAGTTGGATCGAGTGGCAGACCCAATCCTGCCTCCAAACTAATTTTTTATTTAGGAAATGAATTTCGCCGACACTCAAACATCTATGTAAGTAAACGCATTTTCATAAAACAAAAATTCTAGACAAAGTGATGCATGATATTCATATGGACACTTGAAACAGTTTACAATAATTTTAGCAGAACCTCTTGGAATGGAGAGATTATTACGTGAGGAGCCTGGACCGGCGCTTTTACTGCATCACACTCATTGAATCCGGACGGTAGAAAGTCCGGACCGGCGCTTTTACTGCATCACACTCACTGAATCCGGACGGTTATGCCGTCCGGACTAGAACCGTCCGGACTTAACACGTAATAATCTCTCCTAGGAATGAGAAGCTTGTTGACAGCTAAATTTTTGCCTGTGAACAAAGTTAACAAAACAAAACAGAGAAGCAAGTATCCATCGACTGCATTCACGGAATAGTATAATGCTTTAAACGTTAAAATTACTTGTAATCTTAAAACAATCTAGCATAATAATGTGAAAGCTAAATATATTTAGAGAGTACACTTATGGCAATACTGGGTAAGTTATTACTTCGTCATTTTTGAGAGCACACGATTTTCCTTTCTACGAAAGCCCTGCAAAAGACTATCAACGTCCTCCACGTCCGCGGCCTCTGTCTCTCTGCAGCAGATAAAAATTCTTCAATCAAATTAAAAACAACAGACTGTAATACCAGGGACTAACTTGTAGCTCGAAATCAAGATAGAAACTAGTACCCTGTAGGTAGATCGTCCTCTGGATGGTGGTTTTTGCTGTTGCTGCTGTTGCGGTTGCTGTTGTTGCGGCACTGCCAATCTTGCTTGTCTAATTTGAGCATTCTTCTTTGCGGCCTCAGAAATTGATATGGTTCTCGAACTTCTTGCCTGCTGAGATTCTCCTGTCTCAGCAGAAGCGTTCAGGGCCAATGGTTGAAAAGTGGTTGGGGTCTCATCACGTACTCCTGTTGATATTTCCGCGCTTTGTTCGGAACCAAGTGTGGCTTGATCAATGATGCTACTACTATTACGCTTCTCAGGATCTTCAGCAACATCTTCAGCATCAGTTACCAGGCTTGTATCAACAGAATCATGAGCACCTTGCTCATTGTTTGGAGACGCAATCTCGACAGCATCGTCGGCTTCATCACCGCTGCCAGCTCCTTCCCCAATACTGAAACCATGCTGGCCTTCATCAGATAAAAGGTCATCTGGCTGTTGCTCAGGTTCATCCGCCATTAACTCACCTTCCTCCTTGTCCCCCCCTTCACCTTCAGTTGCAGAATACAAAATGTCCTTTATGTCTTCGTTCTTTGGGGCTTGATCAAGGGCGTCTGACAACTCCTCAATTATTATATCACCTTCAAATTGAAGCTCTTCTGGATTTGCAACATCAAAGTATTCCTTTTGCTGCTCTTCTGCTTCTTCATTCACAGGGACGTTATCCTCATCTTCCTTTCCCATGTTGAGATTACCCTCATTTGAGGATGAAGGCAAATTATCAAGTTCCAACTCTTCCTTAGTTTGTGATATTTGAAATTCAGGAACTTCAGATGGTGGCATTCTTTCCAGTGGTGTTGTGTCGGGATTTTCAGATGACTGGGGAATATCGTAAGCTTCAGAGATCTCAGATATCTCTGATTCTTTTGTCCTCTTATAGGGAGGTGGAGCAGCAATATTAATTTCATCTTGTACCGTAGATCCTTCCAGTATCTCTGGCTCAGAAGGGGCATGACGTTTCCGAACAATTGTTGGTTGGGCAATAGAAATGTCCCCAATTACTTCATTTTCAATAGATGAATTATGTTTCCCCTCGGAAGCGCTAGAAGTTTCCATTACAGTGACTTCAGTATCAGTTGTCAGTTCTTCGGGCTTTTCAAGACTAGGACGCACAAACCTTCTGCCTAGCTTGCGCGCTTCAACATTTGTTTTGCCTACAGTTGATTCTTTTTCTCTTTCTTCAGTAAATTTGGACTTGGGTCTTGGCAGTTTAGTTTGCTGAGTTTGAGCCTTCTGACCTGCCAAACGCCACGGTACAGACTGATGGGTTATGAAGGCTTACGAATCTTTCATTGTGCTATTAAAAGAAAGAGCATTATTAACCTGTAGGAGCAGCAGAATTATCTGAAGTTGATGCAATTGCAGGGGAGCATTGGGGTCCCTCAACATCATTAAGGAATGAATTTTTTGCTGCTTCAAAAGAACTAACAGACTGAAAGTATGCTACAGTTAGTTCATCCAAGGAACTCCCTGAAGGAAGCTGGGAAGCTAACATTCCAGTTTTCTGTAAATAATTAGGAAAAAGGTTATGTGAATTAATTGTTGCAAAAGTAAATAATATATAATTAACTTGCTCCAATATTAGCCTATAGATCCTTCTATAACTTAATACACTAAGAAATTCAAAAAAATTACTGAAATAATGAGAGGATACCACAAAAAAAAAGGGCCAACATTTTACAGAACTATAAACTTGCATGTGTTTTTGAAATGTCTCTCAATGAAGGTTGTGCAATAAAGTAACCATATCATAACACAATTTTATCCTAGTGCAAACATTCAGAATCGGATGAGCATATTACCCTCCTAAAAGTCTCACAAAACAGTAGATGTTGATTGAAACCATTAAGCCAGCAAAATCTTTGAAAATTCGGAGATTATTCTGTGAACATTAGAATGACCTAAATTAAATATGTATATTAGAGCAATCGTTTAAGTTGGGTCTACTTAACCCTGAATTCTGAAGTCTAAAGTGTGCATATGTCCAGTTCTTAATCATTTACCAAGAACTTCTGCAGTGTTACAGTAAGTACAAAATCACAATTAAAAGAAAAAAAAAAGTTAAGAACTTCCATTTTAAAATAATATCTTCATGATAAACAGCTACTAAAGTATATACATGATTTTAGGAGAGTGGATGCAACTAATTGTTAAAATATAGTCCTCATGCCCCAAGGTCCATTACTGTTTAAAATAACAATATAATAAATGAAACAAAATAAAAAAAAGCATACAAGAACAACAACATCAAGCATTTATACCACTACGTGGGGTCAGCTACATGAATTTTTTTTTCTACATTGTGCCTTGTCAAGAGCATAGTTTAAAATTGCACAATTAGAGGCGCGCCTTGCGCAATTTAGCCCCCAAGAGCCTCATTGCCTAAACAATTTTGGGTTCATGTGAGGCTTACGCCTCACGGGCTAAGAGACGCGCCTCTAAGACGCTATTGCGCAATTATATGTGAGGCGCACGCCTCTTAAAACCGGGTCCCACCTACTTAAAATTACTTATTTATTCTATTCTTCCATTCGGCTCTAATTGAACCGAACGAAAATCTCCCGCAAGCCCTCTTCCGTTCGCAAAGCTTCCGCTCGGCTCCGCTTGGGTTTTCTTTCTGCCGCCTCTCCCGCCGGCGCCACCTCACGCCGGTCTACTTCAATATGCTGCGGTCTGTAGGGTTGTATGGGAGAGGGTTGAAGGCACCTTCCATATATGAGTTGCGAACATGGACTTTGAAGGATGAGCTGTAGAACACAGAGCAGAGCATTGATGAGATTAAACGGACATGAATTGAGACTGGTGTTATCATTATATCAGATGGATGGTCTGACATGAAGAGCAGGAGCTTGATTATTATACTTGTCAACAATCCCTACGACACGGTGTTTTTACGATCTGTTGAAGCTTCAGATGAGGTTAAAAATGCTGAATTCATTTTTAGTTTACTAGTTGGGGTTGTTGAGGAGATTGGGGAGCAATTGGTTGTTCAGGTGGTGACAGACAATGCCAGTGCATACAAAGCAGCTGGTCAGATGTTGATGGAGAAGAGGAAACACCTGTATTGGACCCTCTGCGCAGCACACTGTATCGATCTCATATTGGAGGAACTTGGTAATTTACCTCAACACAAGAGCGCTCTTTCTAGGGCGAAGAAGATCACAAAGTTCATCTATAACCATTCATGGGTCTTTAGCCTTAATGAGAAAGTTTTCAAAGAAGGAAATCATTCGCCCTACAACCACTAGGTTTGTTATTACATTTATGCACTACAAATCATTTTCAATTCCTTATGTAAGTTTATTCTACAGGTTTGCCACATCTTATTTAACACTGCAGAGCTTGCTGGATATGAGACAACCTCTTGAAGCAATATTTACATCAACACAATGGCTTAATTCTACGTGGGGGAAGAAAAACGAGGGGAAGGAAATACGAAGGCTAATTCTAAATAATAAATTTTGGTCTATTGTGACTTATGTCATATTAAGCACGAGATCCTTGGTACAAGTTCTACGTTTAGTGGATGCCAAGAAGAAATCAGACATGGGTTTTATTTATAATGCTATGGATGAGACGAAGGAGTTGATTGCACATAACTTAGGAAGAGAGGAGGCAAGTTATAGAGATATTTGGGATATCATTGATGCTCGGTGGGAGGTCCAATTACATCGTTATCTACATGCAGCGGCGTATTATCTCAATCCTCAATTTCAATATTCAGAGAGGAAATTCTCAAACCCTGAGGTGAAGCATGGCTTGTATCATTGCATGTAACGACTAATACTGGATCAGATCGTCAGGGAGCTTGCAGATTTACAACTTGTTTTATTTCGGAAAAAGAAGGGATTTTTTGGTCTGCAAGTAGCAAAATCAACTATATTGTCAAATGGTCTCCAGGTATACTTATTTTTGTAAATGCATAACACTTTAATATATTATGATTATCATTTTTCTTCTTGAAAATAGTTGAATGGTGAATCCAATTAGGTGATTCCACCCCTGAGTTATTGATGCTATCAAGAATTTCTGTACTTTTTATTTTATTTGCACAATAATATATTTTGTTTTCTATTTTGTTTCTTTTCTTTTTTTAGCTATCCAATGATGAGAAAGCATCCAATGATCATGGTAGGTTGTGCATTGAGCTTGGTAGACCTTTGATTTGCTGGCTTAATTGGTCCATTTGCTACTGTTGGTTCACGGGTTGGTTGGAGGAGGTTTGGTCGGAGCTCATTCTCTTAGTTGCTTGAGCTGAAGTTTAGTAGCTCATTAATGTCCAAAAAGGTGGCTCATTATGAAGGATTTAATGATGGGTGGACTTGTCTCTTCTCCTTCCCCTTTTTTCTTGTCTCTTGGGAACCTGTGACCTCTTCTTTAATGGTGGCTGAATTCTATGCATTAAACTAAAGTGGGGGTTGCTGTTTTTTCGTGCTATGCCTCTTAAAATTCTGGCCAGCTGCTGTTTTTTCCGTGCTTGGGCTCTTCCCGTGACCATGACTCCTTGGTTCCATGCGTGAGGCTTGGTTCCCCTAAATGCTTCTTCGATTTCTAGTTTGGGATGATTTCCGAAACACTTGAGGAAGATTTCAATGCTTATATTGCTTAGAATCCTGTGAAGATTTATTAAAGTGGCTTTTGGCATTCCCCTACTTTACCTATAAATATGAGATGATATTGAGAAGGAAATCAGTTGATATTTGTGAGCAAAATTGCTATTAACCTGCGGGTTGCTTGGAAATCCTGCGGGCTCTTTCCACCCTTCTTTCTCATCCTCTCCGGAAATCCTGCGGGCTCTTTCCACCCTTCTTCTCGGGCTTCTAACCTCTTTCGTCTCTCCGCAAGTTCCACTCCATATGTACCATTCTTCTCAAAAGTAAAGCAACTTTAGGGTGTCGTATCTGGGTTGATTTGGAGCATCTGTTGAAGAGATTGGATAATCTTGCAGTGGTGGACCTTCGGTTTGCTAGTTCTATACACTTTTCTTATTTAACCTACAATTTGATGCATGTGAGAAACCCGCTCTGACGGTTGTCTGAGGATAGCACCTTTTTAATTTTCTTTATTTCTTAAAATCTCATAGTATTTCTTGCTGTGTTTGTCAAGTTTTAGTTGTCTGCTTTTATTTTAATAAAGTTTGTTTTAAGATCTATCCATTACGTCAGTTTCTTTCTTGTGTGTCTACATCAGTTATAGAGTTTTGCTATTGGAGTTTTGGGTCTCGCTTGTTCTTCTTCTGAGTATGAGCGAAACTGGAGTACATATAGTCAAGTGCAAACAAAGAGAAGAAATCGACTTTCAACACTCAGAATGAACTCTCTTGTGTATATTATGCACAACAAGAGGTTGAGAGATAGGAGGATGAGGAACAAGGGGTTGAAGGATGATGAGGACCAATTGGTGTGTGATGATGTGACATCTGATAATGAGTAGTTCATAAATGATGAGACATATTTGCCATTATCAAACCTACAGCTAGAGGATCTAAGTGTGGATGTCTTGAGGGACGAAGCAGATCAAGTGGACACATCGACTAGTACCACACCACACACATCCAATAGTTCTGCAGCATAACAACTAACTAAAGGTATTCCATAACTTCTTATATGCTATTACATTATATTTATATCAAGTGGGCAATTAATATGATAATGATCATTCTTATTGAATATGAAAGAGAAAAGTGAGTCACATTGAAGATGATGAAGATATGACACTTATAGATATAATTGGAGAAGAAGATTCTCTTAAAGACCCATTTAATGATTGGGCATGATTGAATTTTATGTCTTTCTTATTTGTACTTTTGGAGTTTTGATAGACTAATATTTTGTGGTTTCGTACTTTGGAACATGATTTTATTGCATATATTTTCTTACTTTCCACTAATTTTACTTGTCATTTAAATATTTTTATTGTATGATAGAATCTTACTATTATTTACCTGCTAAAATCCTTAAATTCTTATTTATGCAATTCTACGTCCATTAGGCTTATGCCTCACACCGCCTCGAGGCTTACGCCTCGCCTCACAGACGGAAAACACCTCGAGGCATATTTACACAATTTCAAGGTTTAAAATTGCCTTAATATTAAATAGGTGTATCAGTGCATCGCTGCAACACACGCCTTTATAAATAGGTGTATCAGTACAACACAACTTAATATTAACCTTCTCCAACTCTTTGATGCCCATCAGACTATCCTAATCTTAATTCTTTTATACACAAATCCTAATCAAATTACTTATTATTTTTTAATTATTCTTAATATTTCACTTATTTAATTTTTATACACTTTTTAAAATATAAAAGTTATAATACCGTGTCCTATATTTTCAATAATTTATATATCCCGTGTCTTTGTCGTGTCTGTGTCGTCATGTTCGTGCTTGTGCATCATAGGTCAACATCTTATAATAATACTCCTTTTACCTCAGTCCACTCTATTATTTGGGGTTCAAATCCCAATGCAACCCATCCATGTCTAAAGTAGTTCATTTATTGTAATGAAGACTATAAGATTTTTACTTGAGTATACTTGTTAAAATGTAGGTCTGAAGTCTTTTTTGTTTTCAAATTACTTTATCAAGAAGAAAAGTTTAATTTTTACTTCTCTTAATTTTTTTGCTCAGATAATATACTATAATATAGATAATCTACTATTCACTTGTGTGCTAAAAATAATATTACAAATCAATCTCCTTGCCCTTATACTTCCCAACAAAATGGTATAGTTAAAAGCACCAACACTCCCCAATGTTACTTGTACCTTAAACGTTTCACATAAGTATACAAGATTATTTCGGCAAAATGCCATTCTCACAACCTATTTCCAAATCAATTATTTCATACTTTGAGTAGGGCTACTTATCCATTTCCCTTTCTTAATCCACAAATTATTTTTTCTCACAATATTTCATGCTTTCGATTGTGCTTGTTTTATTCAGTCTTTTCATCTTAGACGTAAAACTATTTCCTCATGCAATTAAATGTATATTCTTAGGTTATTCACTTTCCCATAAAGGTTATCATTGTTATGATCCATCTCTCCTTCCTGCATTTGCTCACACATATTCCTACCATCCTCTGCAACTACAAAAAATTTCTTTAATTCTTCTACGGTTCACTTCTTGTTTCAATGCTTATGCCTCAACTGTCGGTTTATAATCATTGACTTTGTTTGCCTCCTCTTGCACCTCTATCAATCCCGTCTACTATAGTTGACCATTCATCTATATTTGTAACCTCAAATCACTATTTCATAATTACTTTCCGAAAAAAGAATATGACAATGTACCAATTACCCAATACAATATTTTACGACTTGGATCATTTATCCCCTTCTTTGTCATTTTTTTATCGTCTTTTTTAGCTGTCTCTATTCTCTAAGACTTATCAGGAAGCATTACTCAATATTAACTGGAAGAATAAAATGGATGCTTAAATGAGGAATCTCCCTCATCATAAAACAAGAAACGTAATTACCCCTTGTTGTAGACAATACTTCATGTCAATGGCTTCACAGTTAAGTTCATTCAGAAGGAACTATTAACCTCTACAAAACATGATCAATGGCTAAATGATGCCATAGATCCATGGTACTGACTATTTAAGAACAATTTGGAGACATGTTCTCCTAGAAAAATCCCAAAGAGTCCCCAAAATATTCCTGTGCAATGGCTTCACAGTCAAGTTCATCCATATGGAACTATTAACCTCAACAAAACTTGATTGATGGCTAGAAGATGCCATAGTTTCATGATATTAACTATTTAAGAACTATTTTGAGATATGTTTTCCCAAAAAAATCTCAAATAGTCCCTAGATTCTTCATGTGCGGCCAATTTAGTTCCAAAGTATCACATTGCTCTAATTTAATCCTTGGATTAAACAAAATTGATCTAAAATGAACCCTCAATTTATAATTTTGACATAAAATTGATCCCAATTTAGTCACAAAGGGATCCTTTATGATCAATTTTGTATAGTTGAGAGTCCAAATTGAAGCAATATGATACTTTGAGACTTGATTGATCATAACGAAATAGTTGGTGGCACTATTTTGAAGTTTATCCCAATATTTCCTGATTGCTCAATTCATCTTTTTTTAGCCAACTCTCTTTCTCCATTAATCAAATATGGACCTAACTCTAAATGGATATCAACAATGTCTTTCTAGTATGATAGATTAAGATCGAAATTATAAGCTTGGATATTAACTTTTTGTGGAGGATATCTTATTCCGTAGAGAAGGAAAAAGCAAACTACTAGTGCTAGATATAATGCTTAAGTTGAATACAATGTTACGGCATATCATGTATGTGAAGTGAGGCAGACGAAGATCTAAAAAAAGAATTTGAATTAGTGTTGCATTATTCATGATTTTTTAACGTGCTAATCAAATAGCAATTAACATTACTAAAACCTAATTTTTTATAGTATAATAAAAGATATCGAATTTATTATCATTTATCAAAAATATAATTCTATCAAAGAAGATTATCATTTCTCATGCCTTATATATCAGTTGGCATATATTTTAATAAAGGTACACACTCCTCAAAGGATCACAATGACCAAATCACAAATAAATGACCATAAGCATGGGGAATATGGGAGAACATACCTCTAATACAATAGAAATGGCACTCTTGTGCTTCTGTAGTTCATCTTCGACTTTTTGTTTATTCTAGCATCAAATTTCAGAAAAACTCAACAGTTTAAAATTCTGAGAAGCATGAGCTGGCTGATAAAAATAAAGTGGCAAATTGTTGTAGCATTCAGTATGAGCACATCTTAAGCAGAAGTAATAAAAAACAGGAGGTAGATATTATTAATTATAAATAATCAATCCCAAAAAAGACTTCTATATGCAAAAGTTGCTGGTGACAACTAAAGGACACAACTAAGTAAGCGAGTGTCAATATTCAGCCCTATATGATTACAAATTTCTTTTAAACCACTTATGAAAATGTATAATCTTTCGATCACTCGCAATTTTCGGAATTGTATGTAAAGAAAATAGAATATAACTCCATATCATTATGTCTATTAAATATCAAAAGAGTTATATTCTTTTTTCTTTACATACAATTCCGAAAATTGCGAGTGATCGAAAGATTTGACCGCAAAGCTATTTCACAAATCAAACCAAACATATTATGGCACATCCCATTTTGACCCTCTATAACCAATCTAAAGTGTAACAAAGAGAGAGAGAATCAAAATAGACTTATCTCTTACTAACACCTATCCTAAAATACTTTTATCAGGACCAAGTGAGTAGGAAATAGTCAATATAAACTCTCACAAAACCTTAAGTTTTTCAAAACTTAAGACTAGAATTAATATTTCATAATTGGAGGCATATTTAAACACATCAAATAATATATTAAAGCCAAGCCATCACTAAATTAAAGCATGAATTAACTCAACAAAATACTTATATAAATTTATATTTACAATCATATGCTATTTCGTAATTAGAAATTTTTGTGAAGGATATAACTTGCAATAAGAGAAAATGGGGTGGTCATTGCTTGATTGATGAGCTACTATGATGCACCGACACTTCTTCTCAAAGAGGCGTGCAGTGTCCGACACCGTGTCCGACACGACACTCGTCCGACACTCTGACACGTGTCAGACACGCCGAAAACGTGTCCGATTAAAAAAATATTAAAAATAAATTGGACATGCATGTCCGACATGCGTATCTTAAATATTTTATAATTTTTTAAAATATAATTTCTTATATTTAGCGAGATTTAAACTAAATTTCTTATTTCCTATCCACAACACCAAATCAATGTCTGCATTTAATACCCATTCAATGAATATTCTCATTTTCAGTTCTCTTTGGCAGTGAAGGTATTTTCATCTCCTTTCTTTTTGCACAATTACAAATCTTTCTCTTGTTGAACCAGAGTTGAAATCAGTGATATTCAATGATGATGATATTGAAGGCCAAAAATAAACCTCTAAAGCTAATCCTAGTAGTTTAAGCTGGAATGCTTGATGTTGTAGTAAGTGATTATTTGCTTATATTTTTATGGTTGTACTAGATATTTTGTACTAAATATTTTATATTATAAGCTAGACAAGTTATCATGTCATTCATTTATTATTGTTTGTCATTTTTAATATGATATTACATTAATATATATACACTATATAAAAAAAATGTATTGTCGTATCCGCGCCATACCCGTGTCCTATATTTTCAAAAAAAGCCGTGTCCGTGTCGTGTAGTGTCCATGTCGCCGTGCATCATAGATGAGCTAATCTATTTATAAAATATCTCTTATCTACTTTGTTAATCATAGACTGAAGTCTGCAACAAAATTTTATTTGTTTATCTTTATGGGAAAATCTTAATAATTAATGCAATGAATCCTTATTTAAACTCCTTCATTACAAATGCTTAATATCTTTTTTTTTGTTTACAAAGTCTCATTAATGGTTTCAACACTAACAACAACACCCGCCTACCTCCATTGGGACATGACAAGTATGTCAAAAATATTGAAACCGTATAATGTCCATATGTATCATTACCAACAATAACAAAGCAACCACTAAGTTTTGATAAAATATACTTGTCGATGCTGAGTATTTCTCTCTTTGAACCAAGATCAAAGATTAAATGAGGGAGTTAAAACTATAGGAAGTTTACGGATTCAATAAATGCAAAGGTCTTCAAATTGCGATCAAATTAAAGCTCAATAGAAGAGGAGGGTTGCTTTAGGTCTTAGTTGTATCAAAGATAGATGAACACAAGGTCTTCAAATGATGTCTCACGTATATTTTTTTACACTGTTCAAAAAGTTATTATTTGTTTGTCTTATTTCTTTCTCTTATCCTGCTAAATAGGACAATAATAACATTCAATCCCTTCCGCTGAGTAGAAAGTAATATTGAATGTACTGATGACACTAAAACAAAGAAGGAATCTCTCCCTAGGCTTGGATTAAAAATCAACAAAGGGATGCAAAATTGATTTATCACCAATTCTTACGGCACATGGGCCAATCACCAGAGTTATAACAAGAAGGAATTTATACATCATTTTCACTCAAATAAAAGAACCTTGAATTGATTATTTTCACAATTAAAATCTTTACTGGAGTACAGCTCTACATTAAAACCTTAAATTAGTTCTTTTTAGATTAAATAGGATTAATCATATTAAGCAGTTTGGCAACCTAATTTTCTATTATTTCTTAGACTCTTTTGAAATTTTTTTAAATCTATAAAAATATTAAAAAATAAATTATCTTCTTTGCATAGCATTTAATTGCAGAAGTCATCATGACTCTCAGGCAATCTCATCCATATATTAATGAAATAAGTTCTAAAATACTAGCTAAAATACTAGAGGAACATGGTGCTAGGTTCAATAATTTGGAAAATACCATTGGGCTTCCTATGAATTTCATGGGCAAGCCAAATTTTCAAATGGTTGAAACATAAGCAACATTAAATCATCTTGTTCAACAGCTCCATCAAAATCCAACCTTGCCCCTGCCAACCATCCAATCTATCTACGAGATAACACACAAATGAGGATGTTAACCCCACAGGAGGGACCCTAGAAAAAGACGTAAGATTAGAGAGCTGAGCACCACCAACACAATATCAATGACTCTAATAATACTTCTAGGAGACTTAAAGTTAAAACGCCTACTTTTGATGAGGTTTAACCCCAATAAGCTTTTTGTTTGACTAGCATTAAATGAATGACTTCAAAAATGCCCTCTTATTAAACTGGTGGGGTTATCTTTAATTATTACTTTTGGTATTGTGATCAAATTGAGATATTCTCTAATATTCAGAATACTATATTGAGTCGTTATGAAAGTCTGAGATTAAATTGGGTATTTACTAATAGTCAAGGGACTATTTTAGGCATCTACTCAATCTGATTAGTAGACAAAGTAAAAATTTTCAATGGATTCTCTATCTCATGATGCATACAAATATAATTAAGGCAACAAATAGCTTTTACTGCAAAACTTGTATTGTGGTCAAATCTAAAAAGATTAGCCCTATTGGTGGTCTAAGAGGCCCTAAGGGTCTAAAAAATGGAGCAAGTCATTATATAAGTATTTCACAAAGGCCGAGAGACTGAACACCAAAGTTAAATAAACAAGAGCATATAATTTTAACAAGCCAATCACAACTGAAAGGAAATCAATAAGAAAACATATAAAAAAAATGAACCAATACCATGTTAATTTTGTTGGTAATATCTACCATCATTGTCTCATTCTTCCTCCTTGTTAGCCGCTCATTCCGATTGTCATCCCTCAGCCGCTCCAAAGTTTTCTCCAAGGTCTGGTTTCAGGCAGTTATAAGAATTCAAAAGTAACCAAAGCACCACACAATCCAATATCATAAATTTTTTTAGTAAGAAGTCAAGCTCTTCACTGCCAATCAAAATGAGGCATAAAACCACAGAATCATTCTTTAGTCAATAATTATTAAGAAAGATACAACAAAAAAAAAAAATCCATAACGTGCAAAACAAAATATAGAATAAACATGATGAATTCATTTACATATATACGAGAAAATAGTTGAGTTGATGAGTATTTACAAAATAATAGAACAAAACTTTAGCGCAACAATATGATTACGATAATCTAGCATCAACTGAATTTAGAGGGAACTTCACATTAAATAATTTGAAAAGAGCCCACACCCACTAAAAATTATCATAATATAATCAGTCTTTAATCAAATGAATGCTTTGCAAAGAGAAGAGTACCCAAATGTCAATTAAATGGGATAAAAGTTTCAAATTTTTTCTAGTACTAGAAGTTTTTCATGCATATTCCAAACAAAATAAGTATATATTAATCAACAAACGTAAAAAAATATTAAGATTAACAAAATAAAAAGCAACAACCATAAACATTCAAAATGTTTTTTTTAGGAATTGCAGCAAGAAAGAAAAAAGACATTGTTAGCAATAGTAATGAAGGAAAAGGCAGCAATGTCATTCAGGGGAATCCGAAAGGTTGCTTGAGGTTTCCGGAAAAAAAAAAACACATGAAATTTAATGCTTTAAATTTAAGTAGTAAATGCAATTCTAAAGATTATAGGCATAAACTCTGATGCCATGAAACACAGCTTCGAAGTAAATAGGCAGTCCACAATAACAACAAATGAAGTCGTTAAAATACTAGAGCCAACCTGTATCCTGGTGTCCTTTTCTTGTAATTGTTTGGCTTGCTCACTCTCACCAAAAACATTCCTTCCTGTCAAAACATATAATGTCAGAAAACAACAGTATCATTGATTTATATTCATGGAGAAAGTACCAGATTTAAAGTCTTCAATTTGCTTCAGAATTGCTTGATTTTTGGAGTTCAGCTCCTCTTTCTCCTTTGCTAACGCTTGGATTTTGGACATGAACTCATCCTTCTCCTTTGCTGTGGCTTGAGTTTTACTGCTGAAATCCTCCTTTTCCTTGGTCAATACTTGGTTTCTAGAGTTCAGTTCCTCCTTCTCTTTCATTATTGATTGGTTTATGATTTTCAGATCCTCAATCTCCTTTGTCAGTGCTTGTTTCTTAGAGTTCAGTTCCTCCTTCTCCTTCGATATTAAAAGATTTTTGCTCTGAAAATCAAATCAAGATGCATTAAGCTTATCGCCAAGAAGAAAAGTTATACATTGCCTAGAATATCAAAGCTAGGAGTACGCAATAGACCTTCGAACCATGTAGAAGCTTTTTTTGTTTATCAAATTCCAGTTTAAGGTTTGCCTGAATACAGCAATATATCTTAACAATAGCACGGGATACAAATATATAAAACAAAAATAAAGTCAACACGGACAAGTACCTCAACATTTTGAGCATCATTAAACTTTTTCTCTCTTTCAGATAATTCCTCGTGGCAATTAGTAAGGTCTTGCTCCAACTTCATTATTAATTCCTGCTTCTGAACTAAAGTATTCTTTAAGCACAAAAACAACCAATTAATCTAGAGAAATATAATAATTAAATGAGTTAAAAAAAACAAACAGAACGTAAAACAAAGAGATAAATGTTCAAAAAGGGAATCGCAGATTGACGAGAGATTAACATATATAATCATACAAAATGGAAAATTCTAAAGTTTAAAAGAAAAATAAATCGAAGGAAATTTTTTCTTGGTTAAATTCATGGAAATAAAAGAACTCTTGACCACAGCATCCATCACGGTCGTTACAAATTTTAAAGCAGGTAGAAGCAAAAAGACCAACATTGCTAAAATTTAAAAATCAATAATCAAATTATGCTCAACTTATAATACAAGGCTTCTGAAAACAAGCACGCCCAAAAAAATGTTGAAAATAATCAGGATGATGAAAGATGGGCCTCAATTTGCACAGATATAGAAACCAAATTTGTCTGGGATGTCTGCTAACCATGATTAGAAAAAAAACATAATGATGAAAGCCTATTTAAATTATATCCTTAAAAGTATAAATCAGTCAAGGGTAGGGAGATCTTAGGCCTAGATTTCTAGTGCAAGTAGATGATGTGATGTATGAAATCACACAAACCAGATGAAAAATTTGCAGCAATAAGATCAACAAATAAAACGAGTTATCATCTATTATAAATTCAAAACTAAAAATATGAAAAACACACAGAAAACAATCGCCATAGAATTTCTCGGTCAGTTTTCATAAAAAAAAAAAAAACGGAGCACATACTCCATCAATCAATGAAGATGAACAAAATTACTCCACAACAGGTTGAAGATTTGGTTCATGTGCATACAAACCTTCGGTTCTATCAAGAAAATCTCCAACTTATATGATAGGAGATACTAAGATTTGGGATGTTGCTTGAGATGGATTTGAGTCCTTTGATGATATGAGAATATTGGGATTGATAATCTTTCACTTGATGAGCATGAATTGGAAGCAATGATATTTATTGAAGATAATACAGAAGTCCAAAGACAAATCCCTGAAGAAGCTAATCCTACCATTACTTCCACTGAATAGTTGAAACTTCATGCACTAGATAGTTTATGCTTATGTTTATGAATTTGTAAGAACATTTTATGCTTACTTTTATTTTGATATTATAAGCTACACAACTAAATATGATGTTACTTTATTTTTTTTTGTCATTTTAAATATTATGCTATAATTGTTTTCTTAATTTTAATGTATGTTTTATAAATTATAATGACGTGTCTACGCCGTACCCAAATCCTGTACTTTTAATAATTGACGTGGCCCATATATGTATCATAACTTATCCGTGTCGCCATATCCGTATTAGTGCAACGTAACGTAGATATAATTATTCTAGAAAACTGAACCCAGCCCTGGTTGAAAAAAATGTACATCAAACATTTAAACACGGCAAAATAAAAGCATATGAAGTGAGTTCACCTTAACTTGTTCGAGCTCATCCTTAATCTTTTCGTGCTCATTAATGTTTATATTCTTGCAACTTTCAAGCATCTGCACCAGAGAATTAAAACAAATAAGAGTCTCAATTTATCTTAGCAGATCAGTTTTCACTGTAAGCGCAGAAGTACCTCAGCATTTCTATTGTTCAGTTTATTGATGTCAATCTTCAGAAACTCCGCATCTTTTTGAAAGCCGTCAACTTCAATTTGCTTCTGCTTTAAAAGATTTTCCAATTTATCAGCATCTGCTTTAGCTTTCTGAGCCTCTTCACGGAGTTTCTAGTAACAAAGCAAGGTAATAAAGTTTCATTAAACTTTCTCTTTCCACCTATCCCCTTAAAACAGAGAAGCATATTGCAACAAGTTACAGCTTTAAATGCAGCCTATAATATGATGCACGCCAAACCTGACATTCTTCAAAGTTATGCTTGCTCTCTTCCCGAAGCTGTACATTACTTTCCCGGAGCAAATTAATTTCTCTCACCTGCAAAGATTAAGAAACCATTTAACACTTGCAAAGTCGAAATATAGCAAATAAGCTAAAACATATAATTTAGTTGTTATACACAAAGAAGTTCAATGCAACCCCAGTAGCAAGGGTTACCTGAAGCTGAAGAGACTTGAATTCCTCATCTTTTAACATAAGTTCTCTGGAATTCTCAAGCTGAGAATGAAGCAAAGCTTGTGCAGATTCAGAGGCCTTTAGAGCACCATCTACCTGAATCCAAGCAAAGGATATAGATGTTAAGAAAACATCCAATAATAAGACAAGAATGATCAGATATAAAGGATGCACGACTGGTAAAACCTAAAGAGCTTAAAACAAAAAAAATATTCAACAAGTAAATTTGAGTTAGTTCTTAAGAAGGAAAGATAATACTGCGATAAAAACGGTAAATAATCCATAAAAACTCCTGAATACAACAAGAAAGTACAAAAAAAATCAAGCTAAATGTAGGAAATTCAACAGGCACAAACAAAGACTGGGAATTCTTTATCTATGTGAAATCAATTAGTTGTTAAATTCAACTGTGGTCAGTTTTATACTAGGAAGCGCATTTACTTCCAAATAAGTACCATATTCATGCCAAACACATTCAAGTCAATAACATCTAGGACTTCTGAAATTTGAAACTTGCTCGATAATCACTAAAAATTAAATCAAATAAAAACCAAAATTGAATTACTTGAACTAAATTGATGGCTAAATTGATTAAACTAAACTTGAAATCTACTTGAGCATGTAAAGTAGGTAGACATGAATATGAGTGTCTTAGTGGGCGCGCGCGCGCGCGCACACACACACACACATATATATATATATATATATATATGCAATGTTTAAAATTGCGTATTCGGGTATTGAGGCGTTTTTCATTCGTGAGGCGAGGCGTAAGCCTCAAAATCAAAAGATTGCGTAAACATAAAATGATAAATTTGTTATATACTAATGAGTGAATAATATAAAACATAAAAAAGCATAAGATATGAAGAGAAATCAAAATATTTCAATAATAAGACAACATGAAATATAGTTCAACTCAAAATTCTATCTTTCCAAAATCCCAATATTCTTTTTATTAATATATAATTCCGATTTCCAAAAATAAATAGCAATAACATATCACATAAGAGCTAATAAGTCATCAGCACTGTCATCACTAAGGGGTTCTTCATTTAAATCATCATTATGGTGAACTACTCTCTCCCCTTCCTCCTCTCCTAGAGAGTCCAATGTCGGGCATTTACTTCAAGATTTATGTAAGTTTTAATATATATAGCGTGAGGCGTAAGCCTCATGCCAGTGAGACGAGGCGGGCCTCAACCAAGTTGAGGCGCAAGCCTCATAAAAAAAACTCGAGGCGTAAGCATCGAGGTGTTTTTTACTGGAATTGCGTAAAGGCGAGCCTCATATTGCGCAATTTTAAACCATGTGTATATGTATTTATTCTAAAATTAAAATAATTTATTTGAATTAGTCAAAAAATTAATTCATAATCACTCCTTTTTATTTGAGTCAAATTAAAATGGAAATTTTCAACTTTAAGTTGGAAAATTATTAGGTTCGGACACCGGACATATCTCTACGTCTGGACATCCACTTAAAATTTGACAAGGAGTGCACTTTGGTTGCGCTTTTTTTGCATTTTATCTGCCCTTTAGTTGCACTTTAACTGCTCTTTCGTTGCGCTTTTTGACTGCGTTTTATCTACGTTTTTACTGCTCATTTGTTGCGCTTTTCTACTGTGCTTTACCTGCGCTTTGACTGCATTTTGGAGCGCTTGGCTTAAAGTTCCGCGGGACACATTAAATATATAAAGTAAAAAATAAATCCAACGTGTCCACTCCACATGTCAAATTTTAAGTGGATGTCCGGACATAGAGATATGTCCAGCATCCTCACCTAAGAAGTTTCCTTTAAGTTGAGTCGAACTCACTTAAACTAGACTCGATAACACCCCTAACAACATCATTCAAATGCTTTAGATAGTCCTATACAAAAGCTTACCATTTTAAAACATCAACTGTGAGTTGAAGGATCTTCACAAATATTATTAAAATGCATGTTTGATCTATACAAGTAAATATTAAAATATCTCATTGCAGTTATTGAAATGAGGAAAATGAAAATTTATAAATCCATTTCTAAATAAATACAATAAAAATAATGATGATGCTAAAACAATTCTTAAGCACACTAGTATTTTAATTACTAAATATTCAATGTTCTAGTTTGATGGTCCATCATGTTAAAGCCTGTTTGTGCTAATATTGTTATACATAATATTGGCTTTCAAACAATTCTGCAAAAAGAGACAAAAAATCATGAAGCTGAAAGCACCAATTAAACTCATATGGACCAAGTAAAAAAAAAAATGCCATGAATAAGTCTAAAAATACCAAGAAAGAAACTGTAAATAATAAGCTGCAGATATGAGATCAACATCACCAAAAAAAATCTCAAAAGCAGAAACCAACAACATGAAAATTCATTTTCCCTGTCTTGAATTAACATAAAAATTCTTCCAAAACCAAAAGCTGGCTAAAGATGTGCAAAACTGAAGACAAGCACAAATCACTAATCAAAAAATAAACGAGGTAATTACTTTGGATTGCAGCCTCAGTTTTTCTTGTTTCAGCAAGGTTATTTCAGTTTCAGCCTGCATAATTGTTAAGAAAAACCGAATTATCACAAGAAAATTATTCATATATTAAAATAACAACTCAAAGGCGCCTACTTACTATTTCTTTGGACCTTCTCAGATAACTTATAACCGTCTGGAGGTCACCATCTCCTTGTGAACTAACTGCCGAAAGCCCAACAGAATTATGCTCTTTCTCAGCCAGCCTAACATGCAATGCTTCCAATCGGTTGTGCAAAATTTTATTCTGAAGAAACAGTTAATTTAACAGGAAAAAGCGAATAAATACTAGTAAAAGAGGATTTAGAACCAATTTACTAAACAAAAGATCATTTGCAATCAACATGGGTGGCAAAATTACAGGTGAATTATAACAGTGTAAAATTAGACATTATAACATATATATAGCAAACCACGAAGCATGTAAATAGACACAAGAAATCAAAAATCAAATGCATAAAAGTTCTTCTCGTGAGAAGATAAAACGATTTTAACTGAATAACAGATAAATGTTCGCAATCAAAGAAACAGGAAATGAGGAACTTCCCATGAAAAGTATCCTATATATCATTGAAACATAATGATATCAATTTTTTAACCAATTGATTTATACCCAATGTGAATTGAAAGAATTTCCAATCTTGATAATGCATTTAAATAAGAATTAAAATTATGAGTATGTAACAAAATGGAATGGAAATTACACTAAAAACTATGATCATTATCAGTTTTCAACCAGACCGATAAGAATGTTCACTTTGAAAACCTTCAGTTGTATAAAACAGTGTTTCCCAGTCTTTTTAACGTGGTATCAGGATCATGATATTTACATTGAAGTTTCATGCCTGACTTGATTGCATACAATGGGTAGACTGCTATAATAAACTCTATTAATCGTCATATCTTAGATGGTGTTTGTAAACCATTCACATTCTAACAACATAAACTCCTAACCAGAGGCTCCGTATGTAAAGCAGCAGCAATTTTTTATGTTACTTTGCAGCGCATCAAGCATTCACAGCATGCCGTTCTAGTAAGCCAAGCCATCTTACGTGAATGCTAGATTGATAATTTTCTTTCTAAAGTTTCATGCATACCACTAGCAACGCTGCAACCTGAAATCCGACATCGCATCCTTATCTACTGGTTTCCAATCCAAAGTTCCACAGCACTTTTAACTTTTATAGGGGATTGTCCCCAACTTTCGGTGAAAAATTATGACTTAACAATTATTTCCAGCGGCATTTATTTCTTCCAAGTACTGAACAAAGTGATTTACCAAGGCATAGTGCAATCCAAATAAACTCCCCAGTGTATTTCACCGCCACAAAAAGGCTGCTAAAATATGTTAATGAGATTCAGGAAATTATAATAACTTCTACATGCAATAAGCTAGAGATCGAAACAAATGGAAATTTCTGGAACATTAGGCAGTTTTGTTGGGTGGAGTTTTCAAGGACTCCTGATGCAGGACTACTTAGATGCAATGTTTATGAGTTTCATTTTAAGCATTGCACAATTCGTTGACTAGAATAATTTTGGATTAAAATTATTAACAATTCTCCACGTCAATTAAAACAATCAAAGAGGTGCTTTGCGTAGGCTAAATCACATACTCCAAGCTTTGAAATTGTCAAGATAAGTAAGACAAATAAACAATGCAAAATAGTAGTTTTCAATGTAATCCCTAATCTAACAACGAGAGTTAGGATGCATAGAAAGCAAGCAGGAGCAGTTGGAGGAGACTTTCGTGATTACGATCATACCAATAAGAATTTAGACTTAACGAAATTAGATGCAAGGGGAAGAGAAAACCGTCGTTAGGAAGGGGTGGAGATCCTCCACTCGAGGCTCTTGAAGTATTCATCAATGGCTTCCGTCATTCAAGGAGGAATGGTTGAAACTTCTCCCATGGTAGTGGCATTCTTGAAACTTATCCAAGGTGAGGAGACAAGAAATTCTCGTCAATGTGCGCTGAAGAAACAACTCCAATCCTTGCCTAAAATCTGAAAAGATTTCAGATTTTCTAGTTAAAACCTTAGGGAAGGTTTCAGCTTTTACTATGAGAAGAGAGAACTCTTTGGAAGAAAGTTTTAGGCAGAGAATTCAATCTCAGTTTTGGAAAAGGGAGGAGTGCAAAGCCTGAATTGTTCTCAGGATTTTCCTTGGAAGGAGTTTTCTTCAATTTGTGATGGCGAAGCAATCTCAGATTTCCTCCCAAAATCTGAGAGAAAATCTCAGACTTTTGGATTTAGGAAATAGAGATAGAGGCGGGAGAAATACTACTTAGATGCCAGGTTGAGAATTATGGATGGAGGGAGAATTTGGGAGGGAGAGGGGGTTCGGGTATGGGCAGAGAGAAGGGTAACGGGTGGCGGCAAAGCAGAGGGGGAAAAAGGGAATGCTTTGATCTATTTCCAAAAGTGAGGGTACCTCTTTGGAAACTAATTAATCAAAGCAGGATGAAGGGAATTCGGTCAAGAGGAAATTAAGGGTTTTTGAATTATTTCCTAAGTATGATTTTGAGATTAGGAAATAATTGAATAAGGCATTAGTGGGTGAGAGCATGGGGTCAGTGGCATGCATGGGTGATGGAGGGGATTTTGGGATTGGTTTAGAAAGCTTCCTAATTTAAATTCATAAGATTGGAAAGATTTAATTCAATCCTTTCTTAATTAAATTTAATTAGGCATGAATTCAAAAAGTTTCCTAAAATAGAGTTAGAGAATAAGGAAAGTTTATTTGAATTTCAAATCAAGTGAATTTGAATTTCAAATTCCTCCCAAATTTGACCAATCATAAATTAGGAAACTTCCAGGGTAGCATGGAGTGGAGGTGGCCGGCGGTTTTGAAGTGGTGACCGGCGGTTTTGTGGGGGGGAAGAGGCTTGGGTAGAGGGAGGCCGTGGGGTTTGGAGAAAAAGAAAAAAAAAAAAAGAGGATAATCATTCATTAGCTCAAAACAAAGGAAATGAGGCTATAAATAGCCGGGTACAAAGACTCAAGAAAATAAAAGACCAACTTGCCCTTTGGGCTTACATGCGACCACTCCCATGAAAGGGGTACAAAGGGAAATAATAACGACACCTAAGCAAATAAGAAAATGCATAAATAAAATAAAATACAATCATGACTCAGAAATACAAGGACTCGATCGTGGCCGTAGATCGGCGGCCACGTCACTGATAAACCTTCCACGCTGATCTGATGTCCCCATCAACTCCACAATGCTAAAATCAAGAACATTCTTGCCACAATAGCTAGTTTTTATATCAATAGTTCTTAGGAACATGAAATTGAAGATTTTAGTCTTTATTAATCTTCTTAAATTTGGATATTTGATGATCCCCCTTAAAGATGACAAAGTGGCAATTTCAGCATTAGACAAACAAGTCTCACAAAGAAAAAAAAATCCGCCAAGCACTTGGTGCATCTGTTTTCAACCATTACACCCAAGCCGCCAAACAAAAGAAAAGAAAAAAATAACAGAGTCCAACTACTAACCTGTTCATGCATTTCATTGAATTTCCTTTCTGCCACACTCTTCGTCTGTTGTAGTTCAGACTTTTCTGTTTCCCATGATAACTTCATAAGATCCTAAACATGATTCCAAATGAAGGTCATGTAATAAAACATAACAATATGGAATGGTAGAAAAGCAATTAACAACAGCACGCTAAATTTAAAATAAAATAAAAAAATTCACAAAACAAATTTTGTAAGCATCATTAAAAGCCTTCTACAAAACATAATTTAAGCGTATTTGAAAACTCAAATTCTAATAATTTTTCCAAAATCAAAATACTCAATCAGTAAGGAAGACAACTCTAAAACTTTATTTAAAACTTAACACAGTCACTCTGTTTGTTGCCTGCCAAACAACTAGCAGCTTAAGAAAACACTAAATTCAATGATGCTTATTTTTTTTAACGATAGGCAAATCAGGATTTATGGAAGAACTTAAATTTTGGTTTCAAGTTCAAGAGCCCATAGCATATATTTAGGCCTTTAGGGAAAATCCATAATATCAAACATGAAGATTGGTGGTAACTCCTATGGAATGCTAGGAGTCATGCAATGATATATTTGGAGCCTTAAGAAGGTTCTAAATATCAAGCACGAGTGGGATGATTGATTGTTCGTTGATTTGTTGTTTCAACAAACAAGGGAAAATGAATCTACGACTTTGAACATAAGATTATATGATTCATACAGTGAAGTGTTTGGAACAATGGGATGCTCCAAATTGTCATGCATGAGAGGAATATTATTCATTTGTTAATTTTATGTTTCCAAAAATGAGAGGAAACTTAGGATTTGGCCCCAAGTTTGAGGGATTCATGTAACGATATGCTCGAAGGCTTGAGGAACCTCAAATCATTATTCATGAGAAGAGAGAAATGTTCATTTGCTAATTTTGTGTAATTAGAAAATGAAAAGGTGACTTAGGATTTGGTCCCAAAGTCATGATGATTCATATGATAGAATATTTAGAGCTTTAGGAAGACTCCAAAATATCATACATGAAGGATGATAGGTGACAACTCCAAATATGTGCTATGTTACGTTGAGTATTTTGAGAAAATCCAGAACACCATGCACAAGGAAGAGCGACGATAGCTCTTAAGGGATGCTAAAGATTCATGTAATGAAGCCTTTTGAGCCTTGAGGAAACTCCAAACATAATGCATGAAAGAAATATGCATGTGAAAGAAAGTACCCTATTCTTCTACAAATGTTTTGGATTCATTGGAAAAGAAGATATGGATTCCTCAAGATTTGGAGAGCTTTCTAAATTAATTCTGTCATGATTAAGAAATTTGGAAGCTTTTGAAAGTTTGTATTTGGTAATGTTAATTTGCAAATTAGACAAAATAAGCTTAAGTAATCTCTAAGTGTGATGGGGTATTAATTATGGGCCTTTGGAGCCGATGAAACACTCCAAATTAGCTTCACAAACACTTAAGATTAAATGAGCATATTTAGATAAATTTGTAAATTAGGAGACATGGTGATCTTAGCAAGAGATCTATGACACATGATTTTGATTCATGATATGATAGGAAACATACATCTAAAGCTTTTAAGAAGATATCAAATTAATTTTCGCAAGATTTGATTCATTAAAAATGTGGAGGAGAGTTTCCAATCTTAGAGAGTTTCATTAAAGAGTAATTAGTCATTGTTATTTTCCTCTAGGCTATGTAATATACCCAAAAAACAGTTTGACCAACATTACTTGTTCTAGGATTTACAAAATGAACCTTTGGGGGTTCACATGAGACCCTCCAACAAGTTATCAAATGCATTTTGAATATATAGTCAAGTTATAACGAAATTTGCAAGCTTTACCATATGCAAACTCTTAAATCCTATGTCAATTTTGTAATGACACTTGATTTGGGGAAAAAGGAGCATATCTTGCAATGTGTGAAAACCTACACCTCGACATAATGTCGAGGTGAGAAGAGATCACCAAAACCTATAGTCCATTCGTAGGTGAAGGCTAAGCATGCAACATGAGTGCAAAATCATACATCTGGGGGTTGCCGGACACAAATTCGGCCACCTACACGCGTCAATGTCCTCATCGGTCTCCCACATAAGAGCAAAAAAGGGGAAATCGCAAGATTTCTGCTGTTTTGCGGAGAGTACAGCAAGCCTAAGCTTCATTTGGGTTTTGGGGAGGCAAAAATCAAAGTTTCCAAGGGACCTATGACTTGGGAAGCGCCAACCACGCATCAGGGGGCTTAAAGACCAAAGTTTCACTGAGTTTTTAAAGGATTTTACCTTGCTAAGTTGTCACAGCGCCAAACACACTCCACTCGCCTTGCAAAGGTAAGAAAGAGACGGAAAACATAAGAGAAAATTGCGGTACAACATGCTATGAATGCTGTCCTCACTGCTTGAAAGCTCCTAGAGGCCGATTTCACGAATGACGGAAGAAGAAGGAGAAGCTCCTACGACAGGTCGGCCTCCGGATGCTTCCACAACCCCACACTTTACTCCTTTTTACTTGTTGTCGCTTGACTCAACCGAGAAACATAGAGGAAAGATCCTTGATCCGACCAGGGCTCACACACGCTAGCCTCTGATTCCTTTTTCCTCTCTATCTCGACCTTTCTGGCTGGACAGATCGCACGAGTAGGCGGGATCCTTGAAAGTTTTTTTCTCTAGCTCTTTCTCCTGCTCAGGTTGGGTCGGCTGGATGGAAGAACCGAAGGAGGGATCTCTCTCTTGCTCTAAATGGGACAGACGAAGCAGATAGGGCCGAATCCAGCCATCTTCCATCTCCTGCCTGTCTATATGTTAAACGAGGCTCCTGTTGTGGGCTTTTTCGCGTATCCGAGGAACGAATATCCCGCTAAGGGAATTGACATGCGGCAGAATGAGACTTTGAAGAAGATCTGAACCGTTTTATTCGAATACCATATTTGGGAAGTCAACTAAACTAGGATTTGATCAATTAGGGCGGGAATTGAGTCCAAATCCAGCTCGACTCAAACCAATTTGGGTCAATTTGGATCTGATTGGGTCTGATCGAGCAAATTATGCAAAATTGGGCTCCAATAGTGCCAAATTGCGTCGAATTTGACTCGACGAGGCTCGACGAAGCTCGATTGGATTCGATTTGGACAGATTTTGGGTCGGCTTGCTTAATTTGATAAAATTCAGCTTAATTTAATAAAATTAGGGCTCAATTTTGGTATATTTTGCTTCGTCGATGTTCATTCAAGTAGATCGGGTCGAATCGAAACCGATACAACTATGGTCGACACAAAAGAATGTCAACACTCATCAGTAAGAAATTCCAACATATACAAACAATAAAGGAATGAATGCACAAATTGTCCAAGCTGTATCGGAACAGCAAGCAGAATTCACAAATAATGAATCTTGCAATGTCGAAGAACAAAAAATTTTAACCTTAAAAAAAATTCCACCGGATGTAAGAAAGCAAGTGTGGTTACATTTTCAGATTTTTGAGCATCCAGTAGCTCACGTAACGTTGAGATTTCTGCTTGCTTAAGAGAAAGTTCCCTCGAAGTATTTGTCAATTCCTGAATGGTCTCAGATTGAAGGATTACCTGTATAGCATTAATGATTTAGTGAAATAACAGGATTAACAGAAAAAAAAAGACTGCAAAATGATTCACATAAGCTTAATTTTACAATGATGAGTAAGTAAAAAATTGGAAAAATTAAACTCCCGTACTCATAGCTGATCGAAGGTAGAAAGAAAGAACATCTTTCAACAAACCAATAATAGCAGTGAGAATTTGGATAATAAAAATTTTAGCATGCAATCTTTGTAACAAATGACAAATGCATAACTTGGTTAAAAACATTACAAATGAATAAAACCATTAATTTCAGATGACAAATACAAGTGCCAACTTCATAAAACAAAAATCTTTGCACGCCTAAAAAATTTTAAAGGACAGAAGAAATTACATTAATCTACGAAGGTGATAAGCCTCTGGCATATATGTTTTTTTACCTAACACGCTCAAATTTAGGGAAAACTTATTTCCTCCAGTATAAGTAGAAAACAGATCAACATCAATATGCTAGGCATATAAGGTCGATTAATCATATAAAATAGTCCTCAGAGGGTGCACATGAGAAACAATCACACTTGTAATCCAAATATCTAGAACAAAGTTCCATGTTTCACTTAGCAATCATAATGTCAAATAGTTCAAATAATAAGTTCAAGAGAAACTGTTAATTCAACTCATTTATACAAGAATTACAAATAAAAAGTGATACTTCGATAAGATGCAATTTACACTTAAGGAATAAAGATACAACAGCAAAATGGCGCCACAAGAATAAAACCTGTCTTTCATAGTTGTCCTGGGCAATACGCCACCGCTTTTGTTCTTTATCCAAATGATCTTGCAGTGAAGATACTTGAATTTCCAACTCTCTGAACTTCGTTCTATAGAAGAATCATATAAATAGTAAGAATACATCAGGAAAACTAAACATAACCATGGTCCCCCATAAAAATTACTAACAATTTTTCAGCAACTTCATCCCTCAATCTTGAAGTTTCAACCATTGCAGAAGAAAGAGCTTTTTCTTTGGCTTCAGTGGCAGAGGCAGCTTCTTCACATTTCAACATATACTTTCTTTCAAGCTCAGAAACCTGGTTTTTTAGAGATTGAACTTCATCCTCAAGCACCTTCCTCATTTTGACAGTCTGCAGTAAGTGACACAAAAACCCCATGAATTAAAAAAAATGAAAGGAGAGGTTACAAAACCAATACCAATTGCCCTAAGCACAAAATCGCATAAAACATTTTGCCATACCTCGGACTTGTAACCTTCATGTGCCAATTCTAATTGCTTTAACGCAATTTCATTTGTGCGAGCCATTTCTTTGTACTACAATACAAGATAGATCAAAGAATGTTTAAAAAGATTTTAAACAAGTAATAATTGACACGAGATGAAAATCACATAAACCTGCATCATGTACTCTTTGCTAGCACGAGCTTCATCTTTAACTTTCTCCAGCTCCTCCCTTGCTTTCCATAACTCTTCAGATATCTAGTTAAACAGAAAAACAATAATTAACAAACTATAAAGCAAAGTAAACCAATTCCCCCCCCCCCCCCCAAAAAAAAAAAAAAAAAAAAAAAACGCCAAGGTGGATGATCGTGCAAACTGTTATGCATTTTAGCATTAATATAAATAGCAAACCATATCTTATAAATAATTGTATGCAAACTACATAGTGATTGTGATGGGGACATCAGATCTTCTTGGAGAGTTTACCAGAGACGCGGCCGTCGATCTACGACCACGATCGAGTCTTTATATTTTTGAGTCGATGTATTTTATTTTCATGCATTTTATTATTTGCTTATGTGTATTTTAGTATTTCCCGTCGTACCCCTTTTTATGGGAGTTGTCATGTGTTAGCCTAAGGGCAATGGTGTCATTTTATTTGGAGTCTTTTGTATGAGGCTATTTAAGGCCCCTTTGTTTTATTTTCAAGGGGAATGAATGATTACTTATGAAAATTCCTTCTTGTATGAGCATTGAGAGCTTGAGAGTTCTAATGGGGCGAGCTTCCTAGGAGAGGAAGAAGTTTGGCGCATTACCCATCAACCTAGATAAGTCGGGTTCGTGGTTTCGTTATTTATCTCATTCTTTTCTTTTCCCCGTTGATCCCCGCATACCCCTCTCTCATCACCTAGCCACCAGATTCTCTAGCACCCAAATTTCCCCTCCTCATCCTCCTCCCCACACCCACGGCCAAACAACCCCCACCCCATTGCCGCCGGCCAAGGCAGTAATCACCGGCCTCCCATCCCCTTGCTGTTTTACTATTTTTCCTAATTCAAGATTAAGATTAATTTGGGTAATTTGAAATTCAAATACACCAAAATTTGAATTCAAAATGTTTCCTAAATTAGCTCTTCTATTTTAGGAAAGTATGTGAATCAAACCTATTTTTAATTTTAAATTCAAGAGGATTTGAATTAGTTATTTCCTAATTCTAAATCCTAAATTAGGAATTCCACAATTGCTCTCAATTAATTTCCCATCACCCAGCATGCCGCCTACCCCTTTGGGAACCAAATTAGAAATTGTTTCCTAATTATCTCCTAATCCCCTTTGGAAAAAATTTATGCTTTCTTCCCTCCACCTCCACAGCCGAAACTCCCCACCTCCCTTGTTTTAAATTATTTCCTAAGTGAATCCATTGCTTTAGGAAATAATTTAATCTCCCCCTACATCCAGCCGTTGGCCCCTCCTTCCCGTCACCAACCCTTATCTCTCTTGTTTGCATGGATTAAAACTTCTCTTCCAAAAACCTGTAAGGAGATTTGCTCTCATGCTCACTAGTCTCAATTAAGGCTAGGTTCTTCTCCAATTTTTCCACATCCTAGCCCAATAAAATCTGAGAAATCTTCTCAGATTTTCTGGATTGAAAAGCTGAAACTGTTTTCAGATTGCAAGATAAGAGAGACGTATCCAATTGATTCAAAGGAAGTCATGGACGAAGACGTTGAAGGTATTGATTGACGGATCTCCACACATCCTTAAACAAAGGTTTTCTACTTCTTACTTGTAATCAATTTCTTCTAACTCTAAATTCTCGATTGGTTGGTTGTAATCATGAAAGCTCTTTCAATTGCTCTTGCCAAGCCTAGTCATTTGTAGGATTGAGTGTAATCTTCTATGCATCCTACGTCTCATTGTTAAATGAGAGATTAACTTGAAGCCTACTAATTTGCATGGTTTTTATTTCTTGATTACCTTGAACGTTCAAAATTTGGCGCATGTAATTTAACCTATGCATGATTAACTCCTTAATTGTTTTATTCGCCGTGGATATTTGCTAATAATTTTATTCGGAATTTATCCTAATCGACGAGTTGTGCAAAGTCTAAAATAAAGTCACAAGCATATCATTTTAATTTGTCCTGCATCAGATTGAATCTTAATAAATTTTATAAATGAATTGTTGGTCAAACACTATAAAGTAAGAAGTGCACAACAGCAATCATCTAATTAAGGAGAAATTCAACTAGGAGGGCAAGGTTACCGCCACAAATTTTTCAAGCTCTTGCACAGGGTGCTTATTCAATCACATATACTAGGGTTCTCCAACACCAACATGACAGCTATCTTCCCCCTACAACATCTCGTTATCAATGAATACGGTCCCTTTACCGTTTGACCCAATCTAACTTCATCTCCACAATCACCCCTCTTCATCCACTCCCCCTCAACAACTACTCTTTGACCATCCGCACAAAACAAAAGATCAGATAAGTCGACTCATGCATATGTTCAGGAATTCTGTGTTTTTCCCCAGCACATGCAGCTCACGAAGGTTTTTCCTTAATCACATGAAGAGCATTCGCTCAACCAGCAACCCAGTGTAACACTTCAAAATTACCGATTTGTAAAAGACTGAGCAATTGCATACCTCATTCGTAGAAAACCCTGAGTGTTCATGATTGCCAACCTCAGTGCTTGCCTACATTAAGAATCAAAATTAAAAAGACTTCTGTTACTTATGCAAAATTAATTCATAAAATCAGAAGGTTTCATGTAAAAAAAATAAAAAACAGAGCAGGCCTTGCCATCATATCATAGGCATAATCTGTGTCTTTACCTTTATATACAGATTTTAACTAAGCAAGCTAAATTTAGCAAATAGAAACAGTAATGTGATGAAAGGAACAAATTTATAGACTATTCTTTAGTTATTTGGCTAGATTCTTTCTCAACTAACAAGGGATGATTAGGTAATTGAGTAGAGGATTTTCATAGGTAAATTGATGGGGACATCAGATTTCGACACGTGTACCATCGCCGACGGCGCAGATCGACGACAACGATCCAGAGCCTCTACTTTTGAGTTATTTACAGCTTATGTCATGTATTCTTTTCTTAGTTTTCCTAGTTCCTGCAGGGGCCTCCCGCCGGCCTGCCAAATCCCACCCGCCGGCCTGCCCAGCTCCACCCGTCAACCCTTCCTCCGGCCAGCAACCGCCGGCCCACCCTCAGCCGCCGGTGCCTTCCCCATTGCCGCCGCCCCCTCTCCTTTTCCCCCCATCTGTCAATTCAAAATTCTTGAAATTTTGGAGCCCTATTGCCATTAAAGATTTCCTAAAATTGCTCCCTTGATTATTGCAATCCCATAAATTAGAATTGAGTTTGAATTCGAAATTCAAATTCAATTCAATTAATTGCTTTAATTGAGAAACCTCCTACTAATATTAAATCTGAAATTTTAATTTCAGATTTTGTTTTAAATCTGAAATTGATTTTTGTGGTCCCCACCCGCCTAAATTAAACTCCTCCCTCTTTTCTCTCTATGGCCGGCCCCTTAATTGGGCCCCCTTCTCTCTCCTAATCACCTCATTAATCCCCCAAAATCAGCCCCCAAATCCCCTCCCTTGACCGCCCATAATTCCCCCTAGATTTAATTTGGATTTCAAATTAAATCCATCCCATTAACCCCTCCAAACTTAAATTTCCTGCAGAAATTCCTGCACCTCTCTTTTGGATTCCACCCTTGGCCCAACCTCTCTCACCACCTTACTCTTGGCCGTTTCTCCTCCAACGCCCGAGCCGCCTCTCTCATCCACTTGAGAACGTCCCGCGATGACCGCTCACCCTTGCCGCCAAGAATGTATGGAGGAACCCGAATGGAATTACGGGTTTGAGTACGACAACCGCGGAAGGGTCAATATTCTCCGGTCACCTTTCTTCGACGTCGGTTTCGACTTTGACGATACCGTCGAGGAATACTTGGAGAGGATTCTACCACCACTAGTGGAGTCCATCGACGACCACTTCTCCGTCTACACGTGGATCATTGAAGGACGTCCACCCACTCCTCCGAATCCGGCTCCCTCCCCGACGACGAGTCCCCTCAAGATCACTTGTCTACTCGTGGCGTCGCTAAGCCTACTTAAGGTCCTTTTCCACTAGCCTCCACTTTAAATTGAGTGACGGATCCTAAGGTGAAAGATCTAAATCTTAAATTTGGGGCTTTGTTATTCTTAGCTATTCGCATTACTTAAAGTTTTGATGTTATTTTGAAAAGCCTTCTAATCTCTAGATGTGATTTCTTGTTGTTACTTAATCATTCGTCTTCTAATTCTTGAACTTCACTTGATTAAGCATAGAGTTTGTGGTAGCAAGTTATGAATCAATATTTCTATTAATTTTTAGTGCAATTCTCAATTCATCGCATGATTGATTCACATCATAAATTATTAAGTATAGTTCAATGGTTCAAATGAAAAGCTTAAGAGAAATAAAAAGATCTAATGCGTTTGAGGGAAAAAAGGCCAAGTACTGACTTCTTCAAGTGCTTAAGCTGTATCTCAAGATTGGTTTGCTAGCATATCTTCAGGCTGGTGCATCTCTTTCACCATCATTAAGAAGAAAACATGGGGAAAAAATTTAGACTTCAATTTCTCACTATCTTTTTATATTGAATTACCAAATCCAAATAAACAGCTCACCAAGAGTTCGATCAATACAAGAACTAAAAAGACCAAAGAATGAAGAAGAAAATGATATAGAAAAGAAATACAATATTACGTAGAGATACAAACATCAAATGGCCATATTGAAACAGTCTTATAAAAACAATGGAAAAAAGTACATCTATAACATGAAAAAATGGGGAAAAATACATTCGTAAGTAGTATGAGATAGAAGTTTATTCAAGCATGCAGCAAAATCTGGGTTATAAGAGAATTAGCAATCACCTGTTTTCCAGTACTTTTGATTTTTGCCTCAAGATCAGAACATCGAGCCTAAAGGAAACATAAGAAGTATATGCACATGAACACAAAAATATAAAAACATATTCGTGGTAAAAATGAAAGTGAAGCAAACCTCAGCCACTGCTGCTCTAGATTCAGCAGTAGAAACAGAAAACCAAGCATTGGCTAGCTCTTTTCTTATATCTTCCACTTGGCTCATGGAAGTTTCAAGTGCTCTTTCCTTCTCAACTGTCAGAATACGAACACGATCCCTCTCCTCCTGAAGTTCTCTCTTAGCTTCTGCCCAATCACTCTGTAAATATCAACATAAGAATACAAGTATATACAAAAACGTGCAAACTGTAATCAATTCCAATCAGTAATTCATAGAATACAGCTTGAAATTAAACGAGAAGCAAGTTAAAGCAATAAACAGCTAGCAAATCTCAGAAATTTGGATCAAAATAGATTTTCCCAAAAAATAACAAGAACAAAGTTGAGCACGAAAGAACCAGCAGAATAGGATGAACGTATATTGAAGGGGCATTCAGTTCTAGGAAAAATAAGTAAATAAAAAACATATAAAAGAAGTGAGGAAGACATCAAGAAAACAAAGAAGGATATGCTCCAAAGTTACTAAAAGGACAAATAGATTGACCAAAAAAAAAAAAGACTTTAAATTAAGCACGAATCTAGAAGCAGAATAAATGTAATAAAAAAAATAAGAAGAAGAAAATTAGCAAAGTTAAACAACATTAGGAAAAAAACTACCAATTAACAATGTAAAGCCATTCCAAATTGAAACAAAACATGGGAGCAATCAGATAAATTTATTAATAAAAAGCAAAGCTATCAGAACCAGCCCCTTAGTTATTGAAATCAAGCTTTATAAAAATACAAATAACAGAAATAAAAGACATATTGTACATGCAGCGACAACAAAATTAGTAGCAAACCGATATGACATTGAAGTTGTTACAGATTTGAACTATATATGCAAAGAGGTAGGAATAAAATTGATGACAAAAAATTCTCTTCTTTTAACAATAATTACACAAAATTTCAAAGTTGATATTAGAACAATAAATATACAATTATGCTATTCATAATACAGTAGTTCAAAAAAATGAGCCAGAAAAAAAAAAAAAACAGGTTTTTAAAGTAGAGCTACAGCAACCTCAAGCCTCTATCCCATTTCGTGGAGCCGGCAACATGAATTCTTTTTCTCTATTGTGTGCTACAAAGAGTCAAATTCTCATTTAAATCAAATAAATAAAAAAAAAATTATTTCTAATACTTTCTAACCAAGTCTTTTTAGATTTATCTCTACCTTTCTTAAGATAGGCCAAATCTAATATATCTACTCTCCTAATTGGGTAATCATAAGTCTGACGTTTTAGGTGACCAAACAATCTAAAGGGACTCCCTCTAATCTTATCTGCCATTGGAGCTACAAAACTTTTCTTGCATATACTCGTTTCTCATTCTATCTCTAAGAGTAAAGTCACGCATCCACCTAGGCATCCTCATCTCTGCAACAATTAACTTAATTTTATGCTTCTCTTTTAATGGCAAACATTCTACACCATAAAGCATTGCATATCTCACCGCCATCTTATAGAAATTTTCCTTAAATTTAAAGGTATTTTTCTACACAATAGGACCGATGCATTCCTCAAGTGAGGGTAAAAACAGAAAAATGAAAAAAGAAATCAAAATACAAATAATAACTCAAAATAAAGTAATACAATCATGGTCGTTGATCTTCGGCTCCTCAATTAAACTTTCACGGTCAAATGTCCTCATCACTTTACTATAAGGATTATTAATTCCTTTCTTATCTAAAACTCTCTAAAGCACTTCTTTTAAAACTTTATCATATGCTTTCTATAAATCAATAAATATCATATATAGATCCTCCTTATTCTCACTATACTTCTTCATCAAACCTCTCAATAAATGTCTACCTTCCACAGGAGACCTACCCGACATGAACCCAAATTAATTTTGAGAAACATTAGTATCATGTCGTAACTTATGTTCAATTACTCTCTCCCATAATTTTAATGTATGATACATTAACTTAATTCTTCTATAATTCGCAGACTATTGTGCATTATATTTACTATTAAAAAACCAACAATCCACTCATCTGACATCTTTTTAGTCTTTAAAATAATATTAAAAATTTTATTAAGCCAAGAAATTCTTTATCTCCTAAGCATTTTCACACCTTTATTGAAATATCATAAGATCCAACAACTTTTCTAAAATAAAAAATAGAAAAGTAAGTATTTAGAAGAGTAAGTACTTAGAATTAGTAGAACAAAGATTTATTACATGACATATAATTTTAGTGGTATGATGCTAATAATTATCATTCAATATTCTTAGAAGATAAGATAATATATCAATGATATAGCTTTAAATATTTTAGATCTACTTTATAAAAGAATTAAAATAAAGATAACATAACTTCTATAATTATGTTGGATGATTAAAATGGAGAAGTTTCTCGATAGTTCTATATGATAAGAGGATATCATGAATGCTTAAAATTTAAACTATATAAATAGTAATTAAGCTCACAATGTTGTGGGGATCTCAATATTGGACAAAAAAAGTCATTGATATGTAAGTTAAATAAAATGAGAATACAATTTCCTTGCCTACTAGTTATATTATAGCTATTTGTCTTTCATGTTTATTATGGTAATAATAATGTTTCCTATTTCATCACTTCCTTGATTAGAGAGTGAATACAATTATAATCTTCCATAATGCTGGTTGGGTCTATTTGCAACAAATCTCCGCTTTTCTGCTGAGAGAAATTCTAGTTGAATGAAAAAGAATCTCCTTTCGCTCTCCTCTCTACTTTCTTTCAATTTGAACTTTTGTGAGTCGATTGAATTGAGCTCAAACCAGGCCAGCCCAATAGCAGACCAACTTCTTTTGCCATTAATACATTGCAAACTCACTAACTGTAAGAAGGATGATGAGTAACAACTTAGAAAAGGAAATATTAAATTAGAATTATGCTTACTTCAAGTCGTTTGAAATAATCATCTTGTTTCCTCCTCTCAGTAACTCTAGCAATCTGAAAAGATTAATGCACGTGGAAGAAAAATGAAACTAGTAAGAAAATTGATAAAATTATTGTTTAGGTTAGGAAAATACTTTAGCTATACAAAGAATAATCAGCCAACATCCATTTTAAGTAAGACAGGTGTGCTCCACTTGCAATTACACTGCATGCATAGCATCACCTGTAATGGATGGAAACTTCAACTTGGAGCAAAAGGTTTCAGGAACTATGACAATCATACCTCACGAATTTCTTCAGCACTTTGAATGGTATCCAGACTTGTCTGCAGCAACACATATAAAACATTTATGAAATTTCAGCAACAAAAATCCTATCAAGAATTATGAGACACAAAATAGACATGTGAAAAATACAGCACTCAACTATTTTTCAAAGAAAAGAACACACCAAAAACTAGTGCGAAAAATGATGTTAAAGGCAAAAAAAAACAGTCATTTGCAGAAAGAGACCACAGCCACGACAACGCCATTAAGATACTATTGAACATATACTGAATGAGATTACATGAAGAAGAAGGAAGGCACCTGAAGGCGATGCACTCTTTCCATAAAAGTCTGAATCTCTTCAGAAGTTCTTTTCTCAGAACTCGCCAATATTTCTCTTTCATGTTTTAAAATTGATACCTGTTTTGATATAATAATGAGATAACAATCACTTACAGATAGTTTCTCCTTACACAGATGTTTGGCTCACCTCCATAGATAGCTTCCGTGAATTCTCTTCAGAGGCTTGCAAAGAAGCTGAACTTTCACGAAGTCTCTTTTGATAATCAATGAGCAAGTGTGTCAGTTCCATATTTCTAGCAGAAACTCCATTGGTTTCCACTCTCTGTAATAATAAATTAAAGTTTAATGTAGGAAAAAATTGAAAAATGGACCACATGCAGTTCTTCAACATTCTATGGCAACACACGAGCAAATAAAGATAGCATTAGTTTATTTTTCAAGGATGTCAGTATTCAAATACGAATACATGATGTAATATAGAACAACCACTGTAGAAAAAGGAAGCTATATAATGCAGACCAAATATTGGAAGCTCTCGTAAGAAAAACGTCATATGGGGTACTACTACTACAAAAAAAAAAGAAAGAAAGAAAGAAAGAAAAAAAAGCAACCTGATTGTCAAATTCCTTCATGAAGCTATCTAGCCTCTCCTTAGAAAAATTAGCTTCTAGAGACATTTTATCACGCTCTGCTCGTGCTGAAATAAGCTCTGTACTGATTTAACAATGAAACAAGCCATGAGAAAGCATTAGGAAAGAAAATATTAAGATTGGAAAACTTACACATTTTAAAAAACTTAATTGGAAATAGCAAACATATTTCCATTAAGTAATAGAAATCAATTTCATATTCATCATTATCAACAGCACAAATTCTATAGGGCACGTTAAGAAAATCTTCTTCAGCAGTCAACAAATACCTGGACTTGCATATCAGGCCAGCTTTTATCTTTTCCTGCTTATAAACATGATGGCTTTGGTTACACCTTTTTGTTAACCTTACAAACTGATTTTTCATCCTCTAATTATAGATGGCCAACTCTGTTATGTGTGCCCAAGAAATATCCAATGAAATTTCAAATACAGTAAATAGATGTTGCGACTCTATTTATCATGTTATCATGTTTTGTGTATATATATATATATATTTCCCACTTTATCCTTCCAAGCTTTTATTGCACACCCATCTAAATATTCGCATTTACACTACCATGAGCATGTTTTTGTGCGCCTTTCTCCAAATCACTATCACCCATTCCAATCACAGATGAGAAATTCCATGGGTGACATTACGGGAAGGCAGTTAATCACAAAACTTTCTAAAACTGATGTGATTCTTAACTTACTAAAAAAAAGGCAACCTAAAATGTGATCAAAACGCACAAAAATGTTTATAGTCAACTCTATAGGATACTGCTTCAGAATGTGCCGCTAAAATCCTGAAATATTCAATCAAGACACTAATTGGTTCATATGCCAGAAAGTATTTAGTGGAAATCCAATTGTAATAACCCAAAAAGCATATCATAGCAATGAGCATATTTGACAAAGCAGAAGTTGGCTTACAGCTAAAGTAGAAAGAAAAAAAAAAAAGTTGGCTTACAGCTCATGCAACAAAACAAGTTATAACAAACTCAGCAAGACAAACTGGTATCAAGAAATAACTACCAAACAGAAGCTAAAAGAAAACAATACAGATCTTCAAATAAATTGATTTGTGAAGTTTTAAAAGGAACACAATAAAATCAATACAGCGGACTAATCATCTAATGGATATAACTTCTTACAAAGGTCAATTGCTTAATATATATTTTAGTCTCCTAGGCAGCCCTCGAAATTTGCAAACTTAACGTAGAGCACCATCACAAACCAAAGATAGAATAAATCTCAATTTCTTTGACGCTATTTTGATTTCTAGGGACTTCCTCTTCACTTTCAGAAGTTTGAACGCTACGATTGTTGAAATTCAAATTTGCAAGAGTATTAGTCATTTTGTTTATTTGATGTTGCAAATCCGCTAATTGTTGCATCATTTGTTATCAATCCCCTCCATTATTTTGATTAGCCATTTATGTTTTTAAGAAAAGACACACACACCAACCTATGATATGCTAACCTAGTGATGTAGGCAAGGAGGAGAGAAAATCTTGCGAGCTCTTTCCAACCTTTCGTCTCGGCTTCTAATCTCTTTCGTCTCTCCGCAAGTGCCACTCAATCTGTATCTTTCGTCTCTAAGTAAAGCAACTTTAGGGTGTCTTTGATTTCGAGTCAAAAGTTGTAATCCGTCGTCGTTTGTAAAGTTTTTTTTTTTATTTCTTCTTTTTAGTTTAATTTGAAATGTAAGAGTTTGTTCTTCCTCACCTTAGTCGCGTCTTTCGTGATTTACGGTTAAGGCTAGATCTCTCGTGTGGGCGAGGGGTATAGGCTCCCTATATTTCTTGCCCCCACCACCTAAGCTCTGATATCAAACTTGATGCGGACAACTAGATAGAAAGAACCAAGAGGGGAGAATACCAGGACAAGTAGAACATTACTTGATTCAAAAATTAGAATGCCAACATCCAAACAAACATCAAAACAAACGAAAGTCAAACAATCGAAAATGAAAAAAATATATAAAAAACTACCGCAGAACAACTGCCAAGCGGTTTCCTCACATGCAACAAAATAATAGGCAATATAAAAGAAGTTCTTAAGGGCATGCAAACCAAGGATCCACCACAACTACTTGAGCCGACGTCCACCAAAACTCCTCCAGCAAATGCTACCAAACAACACCTCCAATAGCTCAAGAAGAAAGATACAAGTGGAGTGGAACTTGCGGAGAGAAGAAAGAGGTAAGAAGCCCAAGACGAAATTGTAGAGAGGAAGAAAGAAATGGAACAAGCTCTCGAGCTTTTCCAAAACTTAGTAAACGTAGGGTTTTATTTCACCATTGCCAAAGCTTAGTAAATGTAGGATTAAGCGCACTTTATTTGCTCCTAATCTTATTGTTAGATTAGGAATTTTTATTGAAAGCTATTTACTTAGCATGATTGTTGAATTTCTAACTTGTTTTGAATTTTCCAAGTGTTTGGCAAAGCGGCTTAGCCTAAACGTAGGCACCCCTCTCTTGTTTTATTTTATCGTTTGGATTGCTAATAGTTTCTTAATCTTACTTTCTTATTTCAAGAATTCGTGCAAATTCTTTTACATTCATTTCTAAGCATATAGTTCTACATCATTTGGTATCAGAGCATGGCTAGATTGCATTACATGTGCTAGAATTCATCCTAGGCTACATACCATCTCTTAAATCATTCTAAATCTTAGTTGTACTTACTGTCCAGAAATTTTCTGCACTCATTTAGTGAGTTTTAAGGTTGTTTCTTAAGTATCTAGCTGCTGCCCTCAATATAACAACTTCCCTAGTCCACCTAGGATACTTAACGCCTTGTTGTAGTTTGCTGTCCAAACATTATCTGCATCATTTAGTGTCATTCTAGAGAGTTTCTCATTGCATTTAGGTGTTGTCCTCTACCTAGATTCGCCCCCAAGTTTCCCCTAGTGTCTAACCATGGACCCGGAACAACTAGGAAGGACTTTAGACTTGTTGGTAGGCCAAATGAACAACATTAGCCAGCAACTCAAGGAGAACCAAGCCGACCTAACTGAACTTCGTAGGAACACCACTGAGAGATTTGACACACCTGAGTAAGCTAGAGAGCACCGGACTCTCTACACCCCATCTAGACCACCTTCTATGTATAGGGATGAGACCTACCCAGATGAGAGGCAACATTGTGCCAATCATCGAGCTCCTTACCATAGACATGACCCACGTCATGATCCAGATTTGGATGAGAGGCAGCATCGTGCCAATCATTGAGTACCTTACCACGAGCATGATCCACGTCATGGTCCCGATCTGCCACTCATGAAGAATATTAAAGTTGACGCTCCTACCTTCGATGGCACACTCGATCATCAGCTCTTCCTGGACTGGGTCAAAGGTATGGACAGTTTCTTTAAGTGATACAATATCTCTGAGGCTAGGAAGGTTAGTTTTGCGGAAATGAAACTCACGGGTAGGGCGAGTCAGTGTTGGTCCAACTTAGAGAGCCTTAGGGAAGCTAGAAACGAATACCCCATTACCGATTGGTCGTCCATGAAGCGGGAACTCAAGCAGAAGTACTTGCCTCCGTCGTACTTCCCCCGACTATTGGACAGGTGAAATAGAATAACCCAAGGCAACAAACCAGTGAAGGAGTACATCGACTCTTTCGATGACTTCTTGATTCGCTGCAAAGGGGAGACCTCTACCACCCCTGCACAGATCTTGTCAATGTTTCGTACCGGGTTGCGAAAGGATCTTCGCAACGAGTTGTTTGCTCGGAACATCACTACCCTGAAGAATGCCTACAACCTAGTACTTGATTTAGAGGAAACCCGTTCCCAACACCCTAGTCGACACCACTACTTTAGGCCCTCCTACAGAGCCTCTGGTAGTTCCACCCCTCACAGCCCCACTGCCCAGCCGACCCCAAGGAGCACTACCCGACCCTCGTCTGGTCCCCCCACTCCTTGTCCTGATGTTAGAAGTAAGCCTCCCACTCAGGATATCCCTCGATCTAACCCCGGGACTAAATGCTTTAGATGTCAGGGGTATGGGCATATCACCTCTCAATGCTCTAGTCCCTATAAAGTCACGATTATCGAAGAGATCACTGAAGCGGAATTCGAGCCTGAAGTCGATCAGATTCACCAAGTAGACAACGATGGTGAATTCTTTGAGGAGGATGATGACACTGCTATCATCCAGTACATCCAGAAAATTGACACTTCTCCCACTTGCGTGGTGAGATGTGCACTGTCAGAATCTGTTACCGACGACGACTGGCGTAGGACTACGATCTTTCACACCAACACCAAGATCAAGGATAAAAACTGTAAGGTCGTCGTGGATAGTGGCAGCTGCATCAATGTTGTCTCCTCCAACATGGTGTCTAAGCTTGGCCTGTCTGTCGTTCCCCAGTCCAACCCCTATAAGGTAGCTTGGGTCAACACCACTGCCTTGGAGGTAAAGGAACATAGCTTCATACTTATCTCCTTCGCTGACTATAAGGAGAATGTTTGGTGTGATGTGTTGATCATGAATGTTGGATAAATCCTTTTAGGTCACCCCTGGCTATTTGACAACGACGTCCACATCTATGGTCGTTCAAACACTGCGTGTTTGAACATGAGGGTAAAAAGATCAAGCTTTTTCCATCACAGTCTCGAGTTTCGAATGATCCTGAATCCAACCCTATCAAAGCCAAGAAGGGACAGAACCTGATAGCCGCCATAGCCCAGAGCGTGCCTTTACACACCTTAGTTGATCATGAGACTCCCACTGAGTCTGACGAATTAGGCTCTCATGAGAGTCAGCTCAAACCTATTAGACTTGTTGAGATCCGTCCTGATGGTCTTCCCGATCCATTATCCCCGATTTGAGGAATTTCCTATGTTCTAAATCTAGGCCCTGGAGCCTCCCCATCCGATCACATCCCAGTTGGACTCGACTACCATGAGTCAGTGACTAGTACTCTTGGTTTAAGTTCTTCAAAAATTGTTTACGAGTTCAAACCTAGACCGCCACTAGACCTTATATCCATGTGTTCTAGGTATAGGAATTTTCAGTCTACATCATCATTTCATCTCATATATACATGAGTTTCATAAACATATTGCACG